TCATCTGTGTTTTTTCTGTATTTGAGGATTAGTAGAAGATAGAAATAGTCATGAATTAGCATCCAATAAGGATTGTCTTGTTACTTGTAAACTGCGTGCTAAACAATAGAAATATTTTAGTATGAAAATATCTTGGTGTCTGGAATTACAACCCAAAAACATGGTGTAGGAACCTAGGCTATTACCTTTAACTCCAAGCCACGCCTCCATGGTTGTATTATTTAGCTATGTGATCTTCATGTCCTATCCTATCACAGGTTATTTACTGTATGCTAGTGGGCTTCCACCATTGGGTGTCATGTTTTGGACTTACTACCAGGATTAAATGTCATTAAACGAGTTATAGTGCATATTAAAAAGAGGAATGGCAATTCTGAAGCTAATTATTAAGTCTTTAATTTTTACAGCTCATCTTTAAATGTAAAAAAAGTAAATATATAATTTCAGAGTGAAGGCTTTACGACTGTATCTAAAGGTACTTCCTGCTAAATTTAGCAAAATAAGATTAATTACAGATGTAAAAGTAATTAAACATAATAATTGTAATATTTATATATTAAAAATGTATTAAAAAAAACACTAATTTAATTGATGCCATACTTAGGTGTATGAACTTTTTATGTTCTGATTTAACAATGTAGCTGCATTAATTTTAATTCTTTTTTAGTGTGTGCAATTGCGAGTTAGTCCTAAAAAAACATCTAATTATCAGCCTTAAAATTTTTTAATTCATTTTTATTTTATATCAATCAAAAGTTTATTTATCTGAACCACTCTAATTGTGCAAACTAAAAGTGCAAACTAAAAGCTGTGTATGTCCCCGGTAATTGTAAGATTTTTATAATTGTAAGATTTAATGAGTTCACAGTATCAAATTTATTGATCGTCCCTTCCATGTTATATACTGTACTACCAGGTTACTCCGAAGTTCTTTGAGCCATCTAAAAATATAAAAATAATTTTGGGAGAAGGAAGAACAAAGAACTTTCAGGTAGCATAATCACACAAATAGAAAAAAAATGAATTAAGCATTGTTACTAAATTAAATTTATCAAATATTTCTTCAAGAATGAATTCACATACAAGATAATTGCTATTTGAAACTACTGTATCAGTGCTTTTCAGGATAACTACCTTCTAGAATTAATCAGTGTTACGCATCACTGAAGCAGTGTCTATCCAAATCGTGAAGATAATGAAACTGATAGTCATTAGCATACAATATTTTCTACTTGAATTAAGTACCTTGTTTGTGATTTCAACAATCGTAATACAATTTTACCAGTAAATTATGACATCACTTTGGAGTTCCTTTATGTACACATCTTTATGAAAAATTAGTAGACAAAGGGGTTTCGTTTTGAAATACCAAAAACCAAGTAACAGGCAATAAGAAGATTTTCCCGGCTTGATATTACACTGTAGCAATAAGCTATGTACAAACAGCTGTGTATAGGTTGTGTTATTCTATTAATTAATACTTTCAAAGGTCAGATGGTAATAATGTTATTACTGACATTACGAGCCCAATCACACTTAAGAGTTACGTCGGCTCAGGTCTGGCCCAGGTTCGGCATTTTTTAAGTGCCGAACAATCAATAAATGTTAAGTTGGCCCTGAGCCGACCTAAATTTAGTCCGACTTTTGAGTTAGCTCAGGTCCCGTAATGTGGGACATGGGCCGACCCAACTTCATATCTGAACGTAAGCCGAACCTGAGCGGCCCAAGTTCACTCTGATTGCAGTTGATGTTGACATCTTATCTACCACAATATTCATTCGAAATGATTTGCGCGAAAAAACCCCATTGGGAAATAAATTGTTAAGGAAACTGTAGAGTAAAATTTTTTTCCCAGGGCCATTCTTACCGTACACCACTACTCACAGCCTCTGTGCGAAGCATAAGCATGCACATCACGCACCACGTTGTAAACATAATAATAACGGGGAAATACCACATGATACAAAGCTTATGGGCAGTTTGGCAGATGACGTATGTTGCGACTTTCTTTTCTACAGCTGAATTCCAGTAAAAAATATATATATAGGCCTATTACAAGCTCAAGAAAACCCGTTTTTTGTATAGCACACATTAATTTCACAAGTTTATATTCTAAAATCATAACATTGTATAGCGGTAGATTTCTTTCTGTGAACGTCATCCTCACGTTCGTAAAACTACTTACATGACCCCGAGGACCGAAAAAAAAATAATCGTTTGTTATTGTTATGAGTGAAGCGGGTTCTAAAAAGCAAGTGTCAAAAGTGTTTGTGAATGAACCTAATATGAAAATACTTATTATTGCCAAATAGATGCTTGATGCTATTATTTCTACAATCTGTGTCTATAGACACCAAACAGTGGCAGCAACCTTCAGTCTTACATAGGCCTATACTATACAGTTACAGTAATACAGATATGGACTTTCGAAATCGCCCGAGTCTGGTTTTGCACAGAGTAAAGTCGATCTGCGCTAAATATGGGTCTTGATTGTTATAATAATTATCGTCACCATAATCAAGTAGCAAAATGATACGCTTAAAAAATCAAAAGTGTATAAGGACAATAATTAATTGAAATTAGGTTCATGTTTTGTGCGAATTCCATGTGTTTATGCTTGGTTGGGATTAACCGTTCCACCATCATGTAATGCGATCGCCTCGACCCTCCTGTCCTGCAATTCATCGACCCGGCCCAAAGGAGAAGCGTGAACGTTCGTAAGGCGGCCCTGGGCCGACGAAAATTCGACGGGAAAATGTGTTTGAGTCGTCCGTATTTAAGGCGGCCCTGGGCCGACCCTAGGCCGGCCTAATAAGTGTGATTGGGCTTCTAAGTTTCTGAGAAGGCCAGATTAAAGCAATCGTGTGATATTCTCATACCGGTAGGTTATTATGATACTTGAGCTAATTATCTCCATGTTTTAAGTCATATTTATACTCCTCTTTAAATGTTGATGTTTTAGTCTAGGCATACATTTCTTTTGTTTGATGCCTTATATTTTTCTTCTGTTTGATGCCTTGTATTTTTCTTCCGTTTATATTGTAAATTCAGATAACTTTCAACATTTCTATGTTGCCTTCTTTATACCAATAAACGAAATGAAAAAATAAAGCTGCATACATTCTTGTCTGTTAGAGTACATCATTATCGGTACAGTTTCTGGAAATGTTCTCTGCTCAGTTTTTTATTCTCCATTGTATTATAAAGCAGTAATTAATTTTCATTTATAAATAATAATTTTTATTTACATATAGGTCTATACTTTTAATCCTCGAAAAACCTACTTTTTAATAGAGATTTGTTTCACATGTTGGCAATCCTATTGTGTTAATGGTCTCTCCTTGTGCATATTTGTACATGTTGGACTTTGTATTTGAACTTTGTCGTGTATTTGGTTTCTGAGTTAAATTATGAGATACGATATTTGAATGATTATTTAATAGCTAGAGTAATCACAATACTACTACTATAATTATACAATTTAGATTAAACTCGAACCATTAACAGCCAGAAAATAAGTTTGTACCATACCAGTAAACCACCAAGGTTGATTCTCTACAAATTCAATCTCAAATAGCAATGGTATGAAATTGTAAATTATAATTTATTTATTAAGTCTGGTCTATAGCAAGCAGTTGGTATGAATAGATCATTGATTGACATTATATCTCGTGTTTATTGACAAGAATTTAAGGTTGCAGCTGATTGGACGATATGCTAGCTGCTGTAATCTGATCTAATCAACACACAGTTCATGTTCACTTTGCAAAATATATCAACTGTCAGTCGGATTTCAAGGACTTTTGTCAGACATCATCGAAGGTCGAAGGTTAAAGTAAAGTTCCATTTAGAATATAAAGATCATTTTATCGCATTATTAAAGTAGATGGGGATGGGGAGACAGGAATGGGTTAGGACATGGGTATGGAAGATGTTAGATGATGGTAGAAGAGAAATTGCTAGATGGTCTACGACTATTGGATAGAGGAATTTATTCCAGAAAATTTGGAGTCCATTTTAATAACAACAATATTAGCAGTAATATTTTGCCTTACCTGCAAGCCTGCCTACCTGAATACACAGTACATTCCCAAATACTTGCGAAAAGTATGATAACACATTATGTACCTGGGTAAAAAATCACTCCTATGGAATTTCTTGATGCAAAATCAATATAAAATTGAAACTCCAACAATAATAATAATAATAATCATTATGTGTAAGGTTACTCAAAATAAATAATGTATTGACTATCATCTTTGCTGTCAGATCACTTTGTAGTTTAGTGTGCACAGTGGTAACATCACATAAACAAGTACTATGGAAGAGACAGATTGATCATTATTAGTCTATCGACGCTATATTGATTTGAAAGAGATGAAACTTTATAGCCCAAAGGAGATGAGCAAATATCTCTCAGAGGGTTTTACTATTAATTATTTTTAAGCCATTATAGTAAAGGATGATTTGGAAGATTAAGAAACTGGTGGAAAAAAATATGTTGAAATGAATTTGATAACCAAAGCATTGATAACTAACTGATTCTGTTACTTGATAAATGGATTATTATGGAATTGGTAGGTTACAGCCGTATCCTCTCTGCTCCTCTTTCCAACAAAATTTACCCATTTTAACTTCTCAATAACTCCCAAATGCACTGGCAAGTTTATGCACTTGGGTTTATGTTGTATAATTTTGTAACTAGTTCTGGATTAATGTATTGCTTATGTATTAAACATTCATTTCAGGTCAATTATATATTCTTACAATTAAACAACAATTCTTTCTTTATAAGTTCATCCCCACCATCTAAAATCCCTCTTATTGTACAAGTAGGCCCAACTCTTTCTTTATCCAAAACAAAAAATATATTGATAGAGCATAGACATGATGTCAATATTAAGCATATTCAAGAATTAAACTTGCACTGTTAAAATTACAAGTGAAGCACTAATTATCACTAATGCCTAATACAGTACATGTGTTTTTATTTTCAATAGGATGAACATAATAAGAAAATACACAGTACTTTCCAGAGATATACAGAAGTAAAAAATGAGGTCGACCAATGGATACATGACCAGAAAGTACAGCAAATTCTCATTACTGCGCCATACATTGTAACTGGCTATCGGGTCAAAGTCTACCGGATAGGATCGGCCACACAGTGGTTCTCGGCCGTTATCACAGGCCATAATCTCGAGACGCGGGTAAGTGCAAACATTTGTATAGGGAATTGCATATTTGCAGAGAAAAAATAGAGAAGTATACCTGTGAAAGATGTTGTAAGACAACTTAAACACATCTTGTTTTTTATTATTTTTATGTATTTAGGTTTATTACAAAGGAAAACATGGTCCTCGTCTCCTATTCATTCACCTAGACATTTTTTTTTTTTTCAAACTTAAAGATACTAATTTTGTAAAATATGAAAAAAAATGTAATTTAAACAGGTGTCAATCATTTGAAAGGTTCAAATAAGAACTTCCATTGAATAGGTTTAAAGAATATAATTGATTTTTTAATAATGCGTGGAGTCTTCATAAATATGAAAATCCTTTAATGGTGTTATTTATGTCTGTTAATTAAACTAATAATATCTCAGAATTCTGACTTTCAAATGATATGTTACATCTGCTACATTAACCTATTTCAAATGAAAAAATAATAATACAGAATAAGCTATTCAGATATATTAAGTCTTACAAATTTTTTTTCATCTTTTTTTATTACTTAATATAGAATTATTAGTTTTATACTAGATTTTTTCTAGATTTCTGGGTCAAATTAAAACATAAAGGCTTTTTTTTTTATCCAAGTAGAGTGTATTTAATGGTTGCCTTCCTGAATGGATAGTTAATTTGATAGTTAATGTCAATTTATATCTACTATCTTATGTTTTTTTAGGATTTTAATTCGTGCTGATGTTCCAAATAATACCAAAATAGAATTAATTACATTTTTTTTTTTGGTGAATGCTTTTATCAAAGACTAATAGTATTATTTTATTATAACCTTGACTTATTTTTTATAATTGGGAAAAATTATATTATATCTTGCATTAATCTGTGTATTTTAATTTTTATATTTAAAATTTTCTGCAGATGTTAGTTGATTTAATTAGCATATTAATTAGAGGTTAATCAATACGTAGAAGGTTAATATATATATTGCAAAAATGTTTTTCCTTTTATATTTAACATATTCATGTTAAAGTGACAAGGTTGTCTAGATTTTGCCCATAAAAACATTACTCAATAATGATTAAGCCATATTGCATTAACATTATGTTCATATAGCAACCATGTGTACAGTATGTTATTCCATTTATTTTTTTTTACTTTGTACAAGCCTCATAGTATCTTGTAGTATTAACAAATAATAAAATAAATAAATTTGTAAATAAAAAAAAAATTATGGAAATTTACAAAAATGAGGTCAATTTCATAGTACGACCTTGTTTATTATGACCTGTGTTTTTGTTTTAGTTTTAAAATTAATGAATAATCCTCACTGATAGTGCAATTACCTGCATAATAATTTTGTACAGTTTCTGACATTTATTACCTTCTGTTGTAAAACTGGAACTAATTTATCACTCTCTGCTGTTAAATTGGAACTATGCTTTGTGGATTGTTATTACTAATAATACTTATTCAGGAAAAAAAATGAAAATAAAAGATATTTACTAAGCAGAAAGACAGGAAAAAATTGTAGACACAACCTACGCAAATGGGACAAAAAAACAGCCTAAACCAACGTGGCCAAATTGGCACGCACAAGAATCATAAGATGAAATTTTAAAATTTCATTTTTTAGAGCAATACTATTACATTGTTTATCCCCATTTGCTGGTGGCATTTTACTTGCAAAGTTCAGTGAATACTTTACTTTTTTGTTATTGAAATGTCCGAATAGCGTTAATTCAATTATTTCTGGCTGCTTGTATTTCCTCACGAGATTTCTATCAAATATCTTTATTCTTAGAATGTTTTTCCTAGATAATTTCAAAGGGGAAGTTGATTGTAAAGATTAGAATGTGAGTGATAATTGAAGTGCAAAGAACAGGGTACTGATATCTCTTTATTTAAAATGTAATGGGGTAATTGAAGGGCAGTACTGTATATAGTGGAAAATTACAAAAAAAACTTGCTTCTAAGATATTTTTTTAGGTGGATAGATAGTGTGTATTATTTTGTTATTTTTAGGTGCTAGAAGATAGGATTTCAGATTATTGCCACCAGGAAATTTAATAGATCTGTTATTACATTGTTGAATACATTCAAAATGCAACAAATGTTTATTCATTTAAACAGTTGTTACCCAGTGGTGTAAGTTTTTGAATTTGTTTATGTTTACTTGTATAAAAATTGTTTAGTATTAATGGTGTTAATCTTTTTAGCATTTTATCAATATCACGGCCTTGTAGAAACACACCTTTGGGTGATACAAACTTTTCCGTGTTTAATCAAAGCCTTTATTATTATTATTATTATTATTATAATGCCTACTTTCTCATAATGAATTATTACCTGTACATAAATGTCTCATTTATGTCTGTTGTTATATGAGGTTTCTCTAATTGATGTCAGGAATTTTGAAAAAAAATGAATCAGGTTAAAGCTCCTACTACTTTGTAGGAAACACTTCGTTACGAATGAAAAATACACAACACAAAAAATAACAAGGAGTTTTTACTTGATATGTAAAATAGTAGGCTATGAAATAGATCATGAGATCACCCCATTAATTATACATATTAATATTAAAAGTTAATAAAGGATTAAGACATTAGGTCTACACCTAAGAAATTACCATATCATCACTTATGTAAGTTAAATATACACCTGGCTCTTGAGTACTTGGTCTCCTATTGTTAATCCTATTTTTTTTTAATGTGATTTACTTGAAACAAAGTATAATAAATAATTCATATTTATTTCTGTGAATTTTGCAGAGCTGATGAGAAAATAGGAATTCTGTGGGCGACTGAGAATAAGCCTTGCCACCATAAAATGTATAACATTGGTATTAATTCTGGATCCTTAATGTTATTATACAAAGAATATTAATAGAGAGTGATTTCATGACATTTTAAAATGATTAATGGTACGGGTTTCAGACAGTGACGGTCTTAATTATAAATTTGATGTCTATTTTGAAAACATATTTTGCTTAGATTACCTAAGATCCTTTTTGCTAAGCTGGGAGATAGGAATTTTCGATTATTTATGGTTGAACTCACAGACAGTAATTAATAACTTGAATTGATGTAAGGCGGATATGTATTTTACCCTTTATCCTCCCACCCACACAAACATCAATTATATGATGATATTTACATTAGTTAAAGCTATCATGCTCTTGGAAATGTTATAGTGTTATCATCCCAACTCAAAAGTTTATAGTATCTCGGATATAATTCCATCTTGGTTGTAAACTCATCCCCGGATTTTATAAGCCAACCCCGTAATTTTCATTCAAAATTCTTCACCCGGTTATAAGCCCTACCCTAAATCCAGAGGAATTCTAGACTTTGCTTTGAGAATTAAATCTTAGGCTGGATGTTGGGTAAGGCTTCAGACACATAATTGGCTACTTTTTCTGTTGCTCGGGTATAAGCCAGTGGTGGCTCCAGAAATATCTTGACGACGGGTCTAAGGTACCTGATTGGAGGTACAAATTTCATAACAAAGGTCCAAAATACCCTCAGTTTCATAGTGCTTAGAGCAAATTGTTAAGAATAAAGTAGAGGTGTACAATACCTCCTGAGTGGTACATTATTTTATGGCTAAAAAATTGTCTTCATCCCCGACAGGAGTTCCTATGCCCCCTGGACCCTTAGCTGATACTGTATGGTACAAGCCGAGGAACTACCGTACAACTTCATGTTTTTGTAATTTTTCTCTATTGATTATTATTGAATAAAATTTGATTTTGATTTGATTTTGATTTGATTCCTCAGGAGCTGATTGTTATGGATGATACTGTCCTTGAAAGTCATACAGAAAATCCAGCTCTTGTGCAGATGATGTTCTTAGATTTAGATGATGGTAAGTCAACATTCTTACTACTGATTTATTCAAGCAGTCTCTTCTTAGCATCCATGCAATTGATTTATTATAATGATTTATCTATACAGATACTTTACCCAGGCCTGCTATACCTCAATCATAGTCTTATTCTTAATGGTACTACTACCTACATAATAAAACCAAATCCTGCTCCTAATCCTAACCATTATAGACAAATTATTTTTGTCAGAAAAGAACTATAGTTTCCTTGATATGAAAACTAGTTGAAAACATACCAGCATTATATCTTGTGTTTTTATTACAGTTATAAATTTTTTTAATGGGCTGTTGTCATCTGTTAACATTTTTTTTTTTTCCTTATATATAATATTCAGAGCAAGATTTTGCATTCGTATTTTTATTGTTGAAAGCTATATAGGCCAATATTCGCTGAAATTACATTTCATGCAAACATTGATTGTAACAAACCACAATAATGAATATGCATCCTGGTCAAAATAGACATAATCTCTCTTTCCCCCCCCCCCCCCCCCCCGACATATCCTGGGGTAGGGATGTTGTTTTGTCCCTCTAACCAGCATATCCTTACTTTCATTATCAAGTAGAGGATTATCCTATTATTTTTTTTTATTTCAAGTAAAGTTAGGTATCACAGAAGCTTTTAGATTAATTGTCTTTTTAAAATACATGTTTTTAAAATACATGTTCTCATAATTCTTAACAGAACAAGATAAAAAATATTATTATAAGTTATTCAAATTAAACACAAGATTTCATTACTTGATCAGTATTCATTTATGCAGGTTAGTAGATTCAACTTCCATGTTTTTACATGGAAAATATTTCCAAAAAATGTATCTCATCTTTCTTATCTAAGATTGTCGCTTCAATTATTCGCCATAAGATATTAATTCCTTAATAGCATGTGGCTCACGTCTTGCGTATGAACATCACAAATTACTCATGAGATACTTTACCGTTGAGTTCTAGTTATTGAATCATTGTCCTAGATCAAATGCCATTCCAGGAAAAAAATTATGTTGGATTTCATTTGATATTAAAAGAGGTTTTTTTTTTCTGTTAAATGGTGGTTAGTTTCCCTGTTACATGGCAGGTACTCTTGGTACGGTTTATTAATAATAATAATAATTTTGGCTTATAAATCTTAACAGTAAAAATAAAATTTGGGGGAAAAAATTAAGAAAAATACAAGTTAAAAAGGTGAGTTTTTAAAGCTGCCTTAAAATCATCAATGGAAGTTGCCTGTCGGATTGTAATAGGCAGAGCATTCCAAAGAATTATTATTATTATTGTTATTAGTCTTGTTGATTTGTTTTTATAGGAATTTTTTCTTGCTTGTCCAGTGAACATAGTTTCTTTCATACTCTAGTACACCTAATAATAGAGAATAATAAAAAAAAAAAAAAAATTACTGCTTCGATATGGAGTGGTTTAGTTGTGGGTGGTGTACTAAAGTCTTGGGTTCGATACTAGTAAAAATGTTGGAATTTTTTTCATAACCTTAAGTCGTATAGGCCTATCGACTTGTTCATTAATGCATAGAGAATTTTAAATAATTGACTTTACTGAATAGATTGTTCTTGTAAATAAAATGGGTGTGCGGGGAGGGAATGTGAGAGGAAATAAAAATACCAAAACATATATAATAAGACATTATAAGGATATTCCTGATGATGACATAATTAATGTCGAAATATTGAATCCCGACACGATGGCGTGCATTTCGATACTTGGAGTATGTATTATACTGTCTTATAAGGATATGATTTATTAGTATTAGTAATTAATAATTTAATTGTCAAGAGTTTCGTTCTCCTCACAAATAAAATAATTTCACAGACGTCATAATGAAACTTTGTTTACAAAGCATCGATTAATTTCCATTTTGTATTTTAGTTTGTGGTACGTTTAGTAATCGATGTAAATGACCTGTGTACGTTAATGGTCATCGTCATGATTTCATTGTATGGTATACACTTCTGTTGTGTTAACAAAGGGCTCACCTTCATTAGTTCAACTTATTATAAGGATGGTATTATAACAGGAAAGAGGTGTTTATTATTTGTGAAGGTAGGTTGATGGTCCTAACAAAGTTGCAGGGAAGTTTCTAGTCTATCCAGATATTTCCTATATATTATAATGATAGTGTATTAGTTGGGCATTTTGGATACTGTACCAGCCCATTCCAAAGTAGCATTGTTGTGCTCATGTACTCAATTTCTACGGGAGATTAATTTGATATCAGGCGGTTGGTCCTATCACTTTCCTCCATGGTCCTATCAAGTTCTTTGCCCTAGGGATCATCTTGGAAGTTCGCGGCTCTACGATGAGATAACAGAACAATATAGGATTGTCAGGCAGTGGTTAGTTAATACTTCCTCTAACTCAGCCCAAGGTTGTTACAATAGTTATTAGAATATTTCTCCCATAGCATAATAAAATACCCACTCAAATACTGTAGTTCCTGTCCTTGCTTCTCATAATTCCTATTTCCTATAGTAAATATTGATGCACATAAAGTGAAACTACATTACACACACTACCTGTGAACATTATTTGAATATAACATTTTATTTACATGTTATTCATTTATTCATTCATTTTCAGTAATTCAAATTGCAAAAATTTAAACTGAATAGAAACAGAAAAATACGAGCAGAAGTGTTTGGAATATTGTATCTCTTTTATCTTTAACATTATTTATTCAAATTTTTGAATATGGTATTCTGGCATCCAGCTGGCCGATATATACAAAACTAGCTGAATGAGAACATCATCACCACCATGGCATCATCTTCATTATCATATCTCCTTTATAAAGAAGTAAATAATACGTAGCTTCAAAACAAAACACGACACAGAGGACCAAGATGTCATGAACTTAAAAGCTTGACTTAGCAACTGCTGCCCACTGTTAGAGACATTCCAAACTTGGGCTGCTTGCTTTTATTTTAACAAGTATTACAAATAGTCTTACACATAGTAAACGCTTAGGTCTACACAAGTAAGGTACAATAGTAGTAACAGTGATATACAGTATAAATTGTCAATCCTGACCTATACACTGACCCCGTATACAACAACACAAATGATATAAAGTACATACTTATACACCTACAGTACTAAAAAAAAACATATTGGCATTAATAAACTAAACGCTTAGCGGTTTTAACAGTAAGGTAAATACCCATGTAATTAATACTGGAATATGCACCTAAACACTTTCATTCTTAACCATTTTCCATGATCATGTGCAAACAATTTTATTTTATTTGAAATTGACCTTTTTTTTTTGTCTGGCTTGTTTAAAATGGGCATAGACTTTGTGCATTATGTGCTCTATGAAACATAAATATATTATTATTACTATGAATTTTTTGTTCAATTAAAGCTTTTGAAATTAAAATTATTAAAATAATAATAATTATGTCATGTTGACATAATAATAAATATTGAGGATCAGGAGAAATGTATTTAGAAACCCACCAGAGAAATTGGAAATTATAACCATAATTGATTGGGTCTATAGGCAGAACTGGGCAGGTTCTTCGTGACTATTGGGCGAATTATGTAGAAATGAAAGTAAATTTAAGAGATTAGATTGACACTCAGGGGAATGGAATTCTATTGGCTATGTACTATTGTGCTTGGATAGCATGCAGGTCAAATTGGGTTAGTAGTTGGTGAGTTTATCAAGCTCTCCAAGGAGTATCATATCCTTGAGCTGAAAAAGGCCTATGTCTTGGGTCAACCAGGTCAAAAAACACATCACATAGCGAGATATTTCATGTGTTGAACAAACAATTCTTCCCTCTTGACACTTAGCCAATCTTCTATTGGCTGATAAATCACAGATATATGTCTCACTATTCAAAACTAAATGCTTTGAGATTTTTAACCCACTTTTCTTTTAGATGAAAGAGATAAAATTTCAGAGTTGATAAAAAAAGCATTCATACTGGAGATGCAATAGAACTGACATTTTGTGAATAAAAATTTTTTATTAGCACAGAAATTGAAACCTTTAAAAAAAAATATATGACATTGTCACAATACTAGTTTAAGGATGAAACATAAAAAAAGGTAATTATCGTTATGCCTATGCAAAAGTCAGTAATGGATCATTATGTGTGTTAACTTTTGTGAATGTTTAGAGCAATTGTGTTTCATTGTACTTGCCGAAAGGGCAAATACAATATGATTCTGTTTAATTAAAAGGATAAGTCCCTAATTTTTTAGACTCTTCGTTCTTGTCTAAAAATTCCAACACATTTTTTTCACCTCTGCAACTCATGTAAATGCTTGTCTTCATAGCTAGAACTATAATCCTGTTGACTTTTGCAAGCTGTAGCAAATATTCAGAATTTTGTCTGCTTTGTTCAAACGAATATGTCTAATGTCTTCTCATGATTTCTCGATAGCAATTGTGTTTCATTGTACTTGCCGAAAGGGCAAATACAATATGATTCTGATTTAATTAAAAGGATAAGTCCCTAATTTTTTAGACTCTTCGTTCATGTCTAAAAATTCCAACACATTTTTTTCACCTCTGCAACTCATGTAAATGCTTGTCTTTATAGCTAGAACTATAATCCTGTTGACTTTTGCAAGCTGTAGCAAATATTCAGAATTTTGTCTGCTTTGTTCGAACGAATATGTCTAATGTCTTCTCATGATTTCTCGATAATAGGGGTTATGTTTTATTTGTGACATTATAAAAATATGCTGTGGTTTTTATGACGCTGATCGCAGCTGCTGTTTTAAGTAAGGACTTCCATGTTAGCATCTTGCCTTTTCTCTGTGTGTATGAAGCTGATTTGCAATATCCAACACAAGTTTGTCTGGGTTTCTTACTAGCATAAACACTCTTCCAAGCTTGTTAGTGTGAAAATTCTTCAATGTACCCAACAAATGTTTATTCTTAAAATGGAAATCATCTTTCCAAGTCAAGGATCCATAACCAAATATTCACATTCTGTTTTCTAATTTCATCTGTAGCATCTTGGTTGTTATATGCTATTCAAGTTTTGGATGGTAAAAGTATAAAAGGGGCATCTTTCTCTTAAAAAAAAATTGTTAAATAAATTTTGTTTAAATCCTTTAAAATATTTGAAATTAAGTTTTTTTTATTTTATTTCAATACTTGCATTTTTTTATTTTTTTATTTCAGTACTGTACGTTATTAAACCCACGCATAAATATTCGATTGAAAGTAGCTTGCATCCTAGAGTATTACATGTCCTTGATATGCAATACAATCATAAAGTTTGTCCTCAAGCCATTAATATTTAATGTTGTGTCTTGTCATCACTACAACCAATTTAAAACTACGCATCGATTAATGACATTTAAATATAGAAAAAGCAATTTTGTAATTGTTTAGTTCATTTTAAGAGGTAGAACCAACATTAAAAACCTCCTAGGTGTTCCAAATGTATTCTATGTGTTATCCAGCTATTGTCTTATTTTAATCTACTTAACACCAAAATGACATAACGTTATTATTGACCTTGGATATGTCGTTGCTGATTGTAAAATATTTCTCTCCTGGTTACATTTTGCGTTATTAAGTCTAGGGAAAATCAATAAAAAATATCTTAGAAAAATAACTAATTTTCGAAGGTTAGCATAAAAAATAAATGAGCTTGCTGAATATGGTATAATAAAATGTCAAGTTATTGTATACATTATTAATAATTTTTTGTGAGTTATTTTCTGTTCATCTTGGCTGCCATGATGGTAGGACATTTGATTTCACCCTCCCCATGATAGGAAGAATAGTGTCTGTTTCAATAACTTGTCATTGGTTATTTGATATACATGTGATTAGGTGGTGATTTTGTTTTATTGCCAGCTCTAACTAAAGGAGGTTCCGCAACCAATTAGATTTCTCAATTATAATCTATTTCCCCTGGCTGGAAGTGTTTGTGATCTCAAATGCTAGAGTTGTGTTGATCAGTTGTTGACCTAAAATTGACCTTCAATAAGAGAGAAAAGTGAGGCTTTTCTGGTTAGAAGACTTGGCCATAGGTCTCAGCGGTTGAAAGCTAATAGATGGTCCAGTACTTGAGTACGAAAGTAATTCCTACCTTTCCTATAATCAATCCATTTTAGACACTACTGTATGTCATCTTGGTTAATTCTTGCACATTCTAAAGGTAAAGGAGATAATCAGAGAGTATTGTGTGTGGAATCTATTGATGGATATTAACATCGTAGCAATAATGACCTTCGCTGGTAATGTTGACGCTTCATTTATATACAGTCTGGCTCCGGCAGTGATGATGGCGTAGCTTTGGGAACAAATAAAACATATTGCAGAAAACTGGCTGGAAATCGCAGACTGATGCAGTTAAAATGAGAAACAGGTTTCATTCTAGAGAAAGGTTCAAGCAAAAGGAATTTATCAAGAATTCTGGCACAACACATCCTGGTAGATTTCACCTTCATGCGAAGGTCATGTGACAGGCAATCACTTCTGCTAGGGTAGTATTGTTTGCAATGCCATTCATGTATGCAATAGCAGACTGATTGATGATCAGGTTAATGGTATCTGTCTTCTTGCTTTTGTTTTCAGTTGTTGTCAAGTCTTTGTTGAAAGGAGAAAACGTTGGAATCACACCTAGGAGACGACTTACAGCTACCAGTAATACACAAGCAATCAATACGGTATGTTATTTTAATTTTGTCATCGATATTATAGTTGTAGTAACATTTTTATAACAAACACATGTTTAGATATTTCATGAAGTAGTTTTTTCTAAAGATTACTTGATATTCTTAAAGAAACCAAAATTTGAAACCTTTATTTATACTGTGTATAATACAACTTATACTATTTGTAATGCAATTTGCTGTAAAGCCCTTTATGTTCACGAAAATAAAGGGCACGCATAAAAAAAAAACTTTACAGTACTTTGTGGCTCATTAGAATTATGCATGTTTTTCCCCTGTTGATTTATAGCCGAGACATATAAAATCAAATTTGATCTCTATGGACAGATTTCTGTATAGTAGATTGCCTTACTGCATGCCTGTCTCTGTACGCGAACAATACTGATGCGTTTTATAGTTGATTAGTGTGTCTGCTAAGACTAAGTACGCTGGAATACCGATTACACAGCTGAGCTTTAAAGCCAATTAATAATGCAATAAATCATATAATTAGTGAGATAGATCACTAATTGAAGGTTGAATAAAATTAAAAGCTGACGTTAATAATAATAAAGACCAATATACTTAGTATATTATAATAGTTTCAAGATTAGGCCCTATGTTGTGTTGTTTAAATTATTTTAATTTTTTTTTTTAAATTGTTTTCTTATTTCTTTTAGCTTTAGAGTTTTTAAACAATGCAATATAAATTACAGTTTTTTTCTCTTCTGGAATTATGCGTAAAAAATAATAATTTAAAAAATTAAAGAAGATTATTTTGTGTGTTAGCGTTGAGTATAGCCTTAATTTTTGCAATGTTCATTGTGGAAATTGTGATTTAAAAAAATGAATTTATAATATTTTTATCATTGAAACTAGTCCTGGTTTAGGTATTCTTTAGCAACATATTTGTTGTCCTTTATTTATCAAGGTATCTTTATTTCAGAAAATCAAAATATCATGGCAGCACAGAGCTGAATTGAGATAAATGTAAAAAGAGCAAGTCAAAAATATGAATAAAATAGTCTTAAAATTACAGGGAAAAAAAACAGATTTACAGCACAGGAAGGTTGTGTTAACTACAATTTCAATTGATCGGGATTTTTTATGGGAAAAATGAAAAAAAGAAAATCAGGAAGAAGTTGTTTACAAGAGAAAAAAACCAGAATGACCTTTGGATTAATGTTACACAAATCTCTTCAGACAAAATTAACTGATTTGCTAATTGAATGATGGTCATCCTATTGTCATTGATAATGGATTCTGTAGGACACAAAGGTTTAAGCGACTCTAGTCTATCCTACAGTGCTAACTGTTCTATATTCTCTGCTGCATAAACATCAAACCACTAATTAGATTTTCTGTATAGCTAGCCATTTTTCCCCAGGCCTTGGGGTTGTAATATCACAGCCAAAACCACTAATGAAACACAGTCCTCTGTCGATATTTACCTACTTTTGTATTGAAACAAATTTGAACTCGTCAAACCGCGAGGTATATAAATTCAACATTAGTAAGTACGAATGCTTATTTATGTACGTGAACTGTGCTAGGATCAAAGTCCATGTAAGCGTACGTTAGCGTTTGCATCATTTAGAATTCTTCATCCAAGCTGACTTCAACTAATACCCATCAGTCTAGTGTAGTGTGATAAGTAAACATATTGTATGTGCACTACTGGTTTATTTTTAACTAATCACAAATTTGATGAACTCAACAAAATTGTTGAAATTTTGATTTTTAAAAAAGGAAAGTTTTAGTGCATACCATTTAGTCTTGGAAAGAAATTATATATATTTTTTTTTCTTTAATTTTTTTTACATTTTTAAATTTTTTATATTGTTAGGGTGGGATATTTTTAGATAGTCATGTTTTTACAGTACAGTATAGTAGTGTTTTTATTATATTGTTTTCAGTGTTACAGGATGGAGTGATTCATAAACGACAGCTTTATTTGGAATTTATTAATCTAATTTCGCTGTTCTTCAATTCGTTCTGTACTTGGCAGCCACCGCCGGATCATAATAATTTGGAATTGAAGAAACTAGGTCATATAAAATTCTAATAATCAGAAGTCATATCACAATATCTTTGTGAATTCTATCTTAAATGACAGTAGTCAATTTATTCTTATAATTTTTATTAGTCTTTTTTTATTCCTTACTAGCCTTTGTTAAATATTTGTCTGAAGAATATCTTAGAAGAATGTTACTCCGAATAATAATGAGAGGACATTTATAAATTGATGTTTCATCCATTTTTTTCCCCACATCTTTAACTTTTTTAAAGAAGCTATAATTTAACTATAGTTATGGACTTTAAAAATTAATATTAAATGGGGGAAGGTTGAAGAAAATATTGTCTACCGAACTACCAGTATATACAACATGTTGTAAATGGATCAATGGTGTGAGAAGGAATAAATTATATTAGATTACGTGGGATCTATGTACATAAACATGGTAGGTGGTTGACCACATCTAATTCCATTAATATATTATTAACATGTTAAATGGCACAAAATCATAGCAACTACCAGCATTAATCAAATGGCTGAAATCACACAGCAAATAATAATGGACCTTCTAGGTGTGTCAGTCTAACTTAATAACTGACCAATAAGAACGGCAAAGGATACGCATTTGTCCCACAAATGCACAAGTTATCCTACAAACGCACATGTTACGTTCAGGCCGATTGTCGTTTTGCGGATCTTAGCAACAATACCCAAGGAGCTAGACTTAGTGGAATGGTCAATTGTCATTAAAGGGTTGTAGATGTAAAAGTCTCTAAATTATATACAGCTTAGCCAATCACAGAAAGGGCAGCCAAGCTAATTAGGTTTGTAGTTTCAACAGGAATGGAAGGATGAATATGTGTTTTCTTAATTAAATATTACGTTGTATGTTGATTTGTATTCAGATTGTCATGTGGGCTAAGGTTATGTTAAATTTGAGTATATGTGGGAGTGGAAGCCTTTAAAAGTGACGTTTTAATTATGATTAATTTGTGAAATTGTTTTTGTTCTCGCAGACCACTCTAATAAGGTCAGTACCCAGGAGTCATAGTCCGAGTCATGCAAATTCTAATCAGAATTCTACGTCATCCGCTAAAAAGAAAAGAGGACAAAAGCAATTGGATGAGAAGGACATGGAGAAGGAGAAACAACCTGGTAATGCTTACTTTCTTTGTGTAAATTATTCATTCATAAAAATCCTACCAACACTAATAACATGCTTGTTTAAACAGATAATATCTTCACTTTTCAGAATTTACAAAAAAAAAACACTTTATAACTTACTATCCATTTTAAGAGACTATAAACAGAAAGAACAGTATTATTTATAATGTTTGTTTATTGATGTGGAAACAGTTTTCTCATTCCTCTTTACATATTTAAGTTAATAACAGCTTATTCAAATATACATTGTAAGTAAAGCAAATGTGATGTTTGCTGAACCTTTTTCAATACATTATATTGAGTGGGCATAAAGTGCAAGCTATATATACACACACACAATAAGTATTCATTGCATTCGATAAGATTTTTAGTGGAATTTTTTCCTCCACAGAAAAATTGACCAAAGAAACTAAAGTATCAACAAACGCTAAAACTAAGAAAGAACAAAGGAAAAAGAAAGCGGAAGAAGAAAAATTGATTGAATCTGTGAACAAAAAGGAGGCCGCATCAGTAAAGCACCCTCGTTCACATTCCACTAGTTCTGAAGTTCAGGAGGAGGATAAAAGGACTGATAAACAAACTGTTATTAAACAAGAAAAACTATCTGAAAAGTCCAAATCCAGGAATAAAAGTTCAAAAAAGACTGAGGAACTTCAGACAAACACTGAAGAGTTTGAAATAGACTCAAATCTTGCTCTCTTAAAAAAGGAGAAGGAAAAACCAAAAGAAAAGAAATCAAAAAGCAAGCATAAAATAAAAGCAAAAGAAAGGACTGGAGATAGAATTAAACCAGCAAAAACGGAGAAAGAGGAGAAAAAGTATATTACAGTGGAAGATAACCTTGTGGATAATACTATACCTCAGGATACACAAAAGACCTTGGACACTGCTCAAGTTGAATCAGTTGTCGCTATTGAGCCTCAAAAAATTGAGCGTGTGGAAAACCCTCTCGCAGAGACTTTCGATGTCCCTGAACTGAAAGCGAAAGAAACAGAACCCACACCTGAGATTTTACCGAAAGTGTCCAGTTGTGAGGACATTTCTAGTGTGTGCGCGACCTCTAGCATGGTTCATTCTACCTCGACGACAGAAATCAATGAATCCACATCACCCTGGATTGGCCAGGTAAAACAGAGGGAACATAATAAATCAGGGCGTGCTGAACTAGGGTACATGAGTACGGGCATTGAACACATTAAGAAACCTTCAAACGAAGTGTTGCAAAATTTGAACGTTGTGGCTATGAATCCATCCACGCGTCTATCTCCAGATACTAGGACTGATCAAACATCAGCCGTGAGTATGGAAAAAATGGATGGGAATAAGCCAAAGGAAAGGGATAAGCCTATAGAGAAAAGAACTCAGCAGGAGATTGAAAGGGATGATGCGCGTGATTTAAGACGCGAACCACCACGGACACAGTCTACAGAAAGTAATCGTAGTTCGCTTGCAACTGAGGTTAAAGAGCCTGTGCATGTGTATCGCGATCCAAATTTGATGGAAAATTACGTTATTCATGTTGATTCTGTTCAACACCAGCATATTCATAGAGGGGAACACACACCTTCTCCATCTCGGTCATTGGGACCATCCCCGCATACTAGCCTTCGCCCTCAACCGGGTAGTATTGGAACGACTCCAAGTGCCTTTGCGCCTCAGCCTGTTGCTCACCATCCGGCGGCGCATCATCACACTAACCATCCTGTCGCCGCTGCACATCATTTGTATGCTCAATACGGACTGTACCCACATTTACCTGGTATTCCTCCACACTATTCTCCACATCTTTCAGCTCTTGATCCATCTTTTCACACTCGGTTACTCACAGATCTTGCCGCCCAGAAAGACCAGTTCCGATTTCACCCTGGGCAACTGTCTGTACTACAGCGCCCGATGATGGGTGTGCAACCAGGTTTAGCTATGCTTCTACCGCAGCATCGTGCGCTTCAGGAGTCTATGGAACATCAGTTGCGATTGCAGCAGCAACATCAACAACAGCAGCAGCAACAAATTCAACATCAACAACAGCAACAGCAACACTTGCAACATTCAAATCCGCCCTCGCACGAACCATTGAAACGCTATCAAGAATTCCAAACAAATACAAGTGACCCAAAGGCAGCAGTTCAGCAGCACTTCCAGGAGTCACTAAGGAACTTATCTTTGCCATTTAATATAGCACAGAGCAGTAAGAGTGGCGGAAGTATTACGAGGGGAACTCCAGCACAAAGGATGGACGCCAGTCCAGCACGCAACCCAAGTGAACATCCAGTAAGTCATTTTCATTTTCTAACTAACATTCTTGTACCTATATGGTCATGATGTGATGTCATCATGACCATATTTAGGCATGTCACTCCTTTTGTCAAATAAAATGTGATAGTCAAGACGGATTTAGAGCTGTAAATGTTCAAAACAACCAATAAATATTACGTATCAGCATGTTTACATTTTAATCAAGGTTGAAATATAAATGCAGGCTCACAGTTAATTATGGAGTTAATTTATGAGAATTTCAGGCTTAGCATTTCATTTCATAGTAGCTTTTATATTTGGATTTTACTTACAACTATTGATTTATTGACAATATTTATATTCTGTCTCTTATATATGTGTGTATTTATTGATCTTTATTATGTATTTAAAGCTAATAGCATTGTCTAGCTATCAACAGGAAAATATTAACCAAATCCTGGCAGTTCTATTGATGCTTCAAAATTCAAATCCCTTACCTCTTTCTACAGTAATACCTGATACATAACAGTTTATTTTTAACACAGAAAGAATTCACTGGGGGTTTTGTGTCAGTGGTTTCAGTTTCAATATTGTGGGCACGATCCCTGAAAACCTCATCTTATTCAGGTCATGCATAATTTAGCCTTGTTAATCTTGCCTCCTGGTCAATAATAAAAGATGCTTAGCTTATTAGTGTACCCACAGAAGCCAATGATTGCCACCATTCTACTGCATAGATTACAGTTTATACTGACGGCCCTTGGGTTATGGCATTCAGCGCGTGTTGGTAATTCAATCTTGCTTTCCAGTTCCCCTATATTTGGTCTTTATTTGGACAGTATAATTTTAAACAGACTAGGAAAGATGCCCATGATTAGGCCCATGATTAAATTAGAAATCCGCCCTTGAGTGGCTGTGGGGCAGCCCAGGGCTGGCCTTAAAATTTTAATGGGACATAAATGGGGATTTTGGTAATTACAGTGCTGTAAACCAATGTTAGTCAATAATGGGAGTGAAAAGGTTAGCAAACTTTAGATCATTGTTGTTAATTGTTATTGCTTTGAAAAGAGAGTAACTGAATTCTGTTTAATTTGCATTGAATGGAGTTGACAAAAGGCTGGTTTTTGCACAAGTGCTGGCGGTGTGGGAATGACGAAACTATCCAGACCAAAGTTGCATCGCAGCCACAAAAAGCAATTATAACCTTGGCAATAGCCAGCTTTCTGAGGCCGTACATTATATTGCTCTTATTTTCCCATGGACCTTTTTAAAAAGAATGTTTTGTGATGGATATATACTTCATTAATAGTGTTGCATACAAAAAGCAATTTTCTCAGTACCTTGATTGATAATGCGACAGTAAAGCTACACACAGTTTATCCCATACGCGGCTACAAATGCATTTAAAGTGCATTTTAGAATTGACATACATATTTAATAAAGGAGAGTAGCGATGTTAGAATTGCTAAATAATGAATTACAGGATATAGCATAAACCATTAGTGAAATGATACTTAATTCTGTAGAAGTTACCATGTAAACATACTTCTTGATACATACTGAAATAGACATGTTGGAATGGCGCCATATTAATGGAACAATTGATTGATTGATTGATTGATGGATTCTTTGCACCATTTTTGGGAAGAAAAAAATGCCTTATCCTCATTTTTTTTTCAATAAACCCAGATGAGAAACATGTTTTCTATTTAATTTGGCCATACATAAATAATGAAAATGTAACATTACCTTTTCCACATTAAATCAGGATATTATTGTGAACTCAACTCCATAATGAATTAGGAGATATTAATAAAACACTATTACACAAATAATGAATTGGGAGATATGGCATAGTAATTTTTTATTATCATGAGATGTCTAGACTAATTGTAAGAAATATGGATTACTGTAATACAGTACTTTGAAGTACAAGTGTAATGTATAAGTATCTAAATATTCTTCATATTTACATTAATTTATGTTTTACTGCATTCTCGGTTGCTGTTACATCATTCTTTGTTTCAGTTTTGTGTCCAGGATGATCCAAGTGTAACAACAAATTTTCAAATATAATTGGAAATTAACAAATTAATGACAAGAATGATATTTAAGGGGGAAGGATATTACTGTAGAGGAAACTATTATAGTAAAACATCCTACAAATACACATTATTATGGCATATTTTTATCAAATAATATTAATAGGCTGGACATTTTATACATGGGTCTGATTTTTACAGTGTATGAAGTCTTTGTTTTTGTGATTGTTTATTATTATAAAAACATATAAAATAACCTCATTAAGGCCTTAGTGCAAACAACGATGACCTTAAACATTGTAAGGTACAACTGAGGTGATAAACAAGTAATGTTTATGGTTCAGCCTGCTATTAAAAGTTGGCACTGTAGCCTGACGTTTAAGATGCTTGTCTTCCAACCCCATGGTTCTGGGTTCAAATTCTGCCAAGTTCTACTTTCTAAGCCCCATAATGATGTTTAGTGAATATCACACAGTTCCACCCTACAATTATTTTTATCAAGTTTAATTGTTGTCAGATGTGAAAAGAATTTGAAGATAAAAGTTAGAATAGCAATTTGCATGCATGTTCACAGTTGTAAAAGAATAGAGATTTGATAATGAGTAGAGTGAAGTATTCATAATGAGCATATTATTAGCCAGTGATACAAAAATAGTATGATTACACTAACAAGTTGTTTACCAAATGAAACTGAAAGTTTAACATACTGTATTCACTCTCTATATATGCACCTTTACATATTGTAGATTTGCACCTTTACATACTGTAGATTGTTAGTCAATCAATTTATTAAACATAAGCTTTCATATCAGATTCTCGGTAATAATTAGGTCCATTTATCCATAACAAATGACCTCCCCTACATATTTGCTGATGTAGCTTCTTAGGGTCATTCTTAATTTACTCAGACAAAAACGTGTTCAGTCTCCAAGCAGAAACAAAATCAATATGTAATCATATATGTAGATTCTTATGTTATTGCTATAATATCTTGGTTCCTTTTTGGTTATTTTTGCTGACTCAGAATTCTATCTAAATCAGTAAACATCCTAATCCAGGTTAAATAGAGGGAAAAGCTCTAAATTAAGCAATTTCAACATTTACGTTTAACCTTGGAAGTCACGATGGTCCCTTGATTGCTGTTCCAGCTGTTAAGCACTAGGTCACACAAAGGATGACCTCAGCAGTAGTTGACACATCACTGAGGTTATTGATAACTGGTAATGTGACAAGGGTGTCTATACTACTGGAGCAGGCTCTTTGTTCATATGAACCTACCAGGGGGCATCCTATTCTAAACAGTTATACATAACTAAACAGGGATAATATTTACAATTCAATAACAAATAACCATGCCTAATAATGACTTTCATGATTGGTTGTTTTTATTCTTTCATTTAATATATGGTTTTATTCAAAAGGTAGGGTCTCCTATATTTTCTGGCTAAGTCAGAAGCAAATTTTCATAACTTTCAAAATTTAAATTAAACTTAGAGATGGTTGACCAACAACTAATTTAATGGAACACAAGCATGCCATAATTAATTAAAAATTCAAAAGTCAAACTGTTTATAACTCTTAAAAAAATGTACGGTACCATAAACACTATGTAATACAATAACCACTCAAAAACACTGATTGATGTCTGAATGCTGGGTTCGGGCGCCCTGGTGTGCATTTGGTTGCTTGGAGTGTGTATTATACTTTCTTATCTGAGATTTTTTTTTACTACATTGTGTTTGCTTTTATTGTTTTATACTACTTATATTTATACGGCCTTGCACGGCCTTGTTGAAAAACACCCCTGGGTGAATCAAGTTTTACCATGTTGAAATAAAGTATTTATTATTATTATTTTTTTTATTATTATATAATGCAATAAACACTATAGGCTGTAATATAATAAACGCTCATAAACACTATATATAAAATACAATGATAACTTGATAATACTGTATTAAATAATCTATAGCTACACTTTCATTTTCCATGCGCCTTCATCTTTCTACCCATCCCTTTCAAGATTATGTATTCATTACTTTCACTGGGCTGTTACCTTGAGGATGTAACCATTTACTGTATGTTTTTTTTTATATTAATCGTGATCTTGTATAATTTCCCGTCGACCACGAGTCATCTAAATCCCAAGGTCTTTCTAAAATAATTGCAAACAATGCACATATGAGTAAGTTTGCAGTTCTTAAAGATTAACTGATTATTATTCAAGATGTAACATTCAATTACTGTATCTAAGTAGATGATTATGGCAACAATACATAATAAAGTAGATTCTTTATTTTTATAAGGTCTATAGGCCTTGGCCAAACATAATATCTCATTTTCCATTCTTAATTAATTCTTAAGAAATAGTTTTCTTACACTGTTGTGAGTATCTTTGGCTAAATAAGAAATTCAACATGATTCTTCTCCCTCCTGTCTGTTATTTGGGTTTGAAGAAATGGAAGGAAATGATTTTGTCATTGGACAAAACCAAAGGTGTGATTGTTATTTTCTATATACATTTAAAAGTTTTTTTTTCTTACAGGTATTAGTGGAGAATTACCTCCACAGTTTAAATAACTAGTGGTTAAGATATTTTTTAAGAACAATGAGAATTGCATTTTCTGCTGTTTTTTTTTTTTTTTCTTCTTTTTTTTTCCTTTTTTTGTTATGAAATATTTTTTATCAGGAGAGAATAGATAATGTAGTTAGTTCCAGTGGTTGGTTTTGCACAAAGGTGTCTGGAATTAGTAATATAAGGCAAAGCATGTGTGAAACTGAAACATCATGCTGTTAGTGTTAAAAAACAGTGAACAGGTATTGATTTACTCAAGTATGCAGAATCTGACCCCATCATTAACCACAGTAAAGTGTTCATTTATTTTTTATTTAACCTAATTTATTCAGCCAATTAATTAAGCTCCTAGTTTGAGGTGATCCCTGAAAGGTAATGATTGAAGTTTTTGTTAATTATGAAATCTAATAAGTTTTGTTTTTAATCTATTTTGTATTAGTCTTATGGGTGGTGATGAGGAATATTGACAGACAATCAAATTAAACTTCATCAATTCATATTATTGTTAATGTAATGTAGCTAAGTTTGTTATAGCATAATATGAAGTCCTGCATCATGTACAGTATTCAATTTAATTCAAATTTTAATTCAGACGCCCATTGTCCATATAAAAAAACGAATCAAACAGACATTTGTAAGAAAGAGGTAGAATTAAATAGAACCATAAAAAATGTATTAAAGTTCATTCACCTGTTATACAACATCAACTCAGAGCACAAAGCCTATTACAAATGGTCAAAACAAGCAGGTTATTGCTGGCAAGCATACACAGACCTAAAAACAGATACAAATATATTCATAGAATAATTGTATGTTGTTGTTGACAAACATACCACTAGCACTATTCAAAAATGTATTAAAGTTCATTCACCTGTTATACAACATCAACTCAGAGCACAAAGCCTATTACAAATGGTCAAACAGATACAAATATATTCATAGAATAATTGTATGTTGTTGTTGACAAACATACCACTAGCACTATTGGCATACTGTACCACTGACAGACTATAAAAACTAACTACATTGTACACAAGAAAGAAATAATACTTGTACATTTGGATAAAACAATATGCTGACAATGAAATAATGAATGAGAAATGATGAAGTGTAACAGATACAAAAAGGAATAGAAAAGATGGATGTGTAATTTACGATGAAGATGGGTCTTTAAAAGCCTTTAAAAGTAGTGGAGTATAGAGATTCTTACAAAAAGGGTGAAGGGCTGTTGTTGTTAATAGCATTTACGTTGACAACTACTACATCCGCACTATTCTCAATGAGCATGCCGGGTTATAATTTCCTTCTGTTCGGTAACTGAACATCCTGATTCAATAAACACGTTTCCTACGAAGAGTACGTTACTATTAGGGGTAATCGCATTTGATAGATTTCCAAACAGCAATTACAAATCACTTATGAGTGTTAATTTGCTTTCCCCAGAGTAAGGATGACAAAAGAGTACAGGAGGAAATGAAGAGGAAGGAGCTAGAGGAAAAAGAAAGAGAATGGCAAAAACTACAACGGGAGAAAGAACACCGTGAACGAGCACAGGTAACACATGACCTTTTTAATAGCTTGTTTTAATTCCTTTTTTAAGTTGTGCAGACATTATTTTTTTTCTATAAATCCTCAAAATGGTTCTACCAAAAGATCTAGATAGGTGAAAAGATGACATATGGATACATTGATTGATGAATTTAATAAATGAGTGTGCCAAGTAAAAAGAAAATATCAATTAATGCGTTGTTGCAACGTAAACAAGTTAGCAGTGAAGTTGTTAATGTTAAAATATATTTATGCTAGCTATACTGATTATTTAATTCTGATGAAGAAATACACATTTTTTTTATCAGGAGATTTCTTAGAAGCAGTTGGCGTATTTAAGAAAAAAGATTGTTTTTCCCCATTTTTGTTGTGCAATTTTTATTTGAAATCATGGTGGGCGGTGGTCTCACCTAAAAAAGATTTGTGGAAGTTGTGGTAAGTTATTGGGTACATTTGTTAAATACTGTAAAACCTTGAATTGAAGCCCTGGGCTTCTTTTTTTTTGACAACTTTGGATGGGCTTCTATTTGAAGCTACTTTTGCAAAGTAAAGAGAAGGGTAGCCAAGTAAAGAGGAGGGACTCTTTTTGAAATGGAAGCTGTAAATTTTGGGAATTAATATAAAACAATAAATAAGGCCACTGTAACATCAATCTGTGTCATGGAGTGTATTAAAACTGGCATTAAATCACCTAAACTACTGTACTAGAAATTGCAAATTGCAAGTGAAGTGCTGTGAAGTAAAACTGCATAAAATGTTCTTCGAACAAAATTATTTATGCGAGTCAAGTGAAAATAATGAATAATAAAAATATAACAGATAATATGAGACACGACCCATTGTCTATATTAGAACAGTGTTGGTACCGTGTACAGTAGTGTTTTGCTGCAGTGACATCTCACTGCTGGCGACTCGCTGCTGCTGGCGATGACTCGCTGCTGGAGAGTCGATCTGCGCATGTGTATAAAATGGTATTTATTTCCGAAAACAGTATGCCAGTCTACAACAAACGTCGCCTAAATGTAATAATTAGCACGTTGAAATAGGCTAGTAAATAAGTTCAACTGGGTTCGTAAATAATATTGGCCTCAAAATATTGTGGCTGAGACATGAGCTGATTAAACGTAGAAATAGGAAACCTAGAAATATAGTAAAAACGCTGAATAGTACTCCAGCGTCGCGACATGCGGACGTTGTTACGAGTAGGTTAGTCTACAAACGTCGCCTAAAGTAATTGATTTTACCCGGCAGAACGAAAGAAGGAAACTCCGCTTTTCGGTTGTCTTAGGCGCAGGTTTTTTGACAAACAATGACCTTTCAGAGGTCAATTGGCTGCTTCGCAGCAATTAGCAAGCAGCATGTTCTTAATTTTTTTTGGTTTTTTTTCCCCCTTGAAATTCATGTACAGTGTATGTACTGTAACACTGTCTCGAAAAAAAGCCAATGCTATCTTGAAAAGAAGCCCATGGGCTTAAAATGCAGTGCTGGTTTATTATTTATTTTCAATTTGTTTTAATTTATAACAAATAATCTCATGAATCTATAAGATACATAAACAAGCTATTAGGTTATACACTGATATATTAATATTAATAATACGAATATTTTGAAAATTATAGTGACCATACTATTTAGCTAAATTGTTTTTTTTAGTGTATTATTAGATGATTTCAATCCCTTGAAATGTTTTCTGCAATAAACTTGTAGGAAATCCAGAGTAGAAGATATTCGGATCAAGCTTCACATCGGTGAAACAAATATTGATGATGGAATATTATTAAGAAGATCGTATTCTAGATCTGTATTTTGATTGTATTTACTGACATGCAGTCAAGGACGTTTGCGTCATCCCATTCACTCCCCCTCATGACCAAGAATTTTGATACTGAAAAGGGGAAATGTGACTAAATCAATTTCAAAGGGGAAATAATAGCCGACTATATAAAGATTAGGATTATATATAAGAAGCTAGCTGTCTCAGATGTATACTCAATGTTTATTTAAATTAAATTTCAGCTGTCAACTTTTGATTAGGCCAAGGTCAAAATCAATTTAAATTCTTTTTAATACAGTCCTAGAAATACAGGGAGGAAAGTTTAACCTAGAGAAGGTAAATGTCCTGAAATTTTAAGAATCAATGCTTTCATTCATATTTAAAGACTCAATCTTTATTTGAAAAAAATCTATGTCACATGCCTAAATATGGTCAGGATGCCATGACCTTATATAGGTACATCAAGACTATATATGGGCATCCAACATTTTTTTGACAGAGCTTTATATTATTAAGTAACAAACAAATGTTTTAAATATTTCAAAATCTAAATAAAAGAAGTTTATTAAATAATTATATCAAATATGTCCTAAAATTAATGTAGGGCCTAGTGCATTTTCATTAAGATAATTATTTTAGAACACAAACTAATAAAACATAACTTCTTGTCAGTTTAAGTGACTAACTTCTAATCCCATGGTTCTGTGTTCAAATCCGGTCTGGACACCTGGATTTTTTTCTCACGACTAAAGCAAACTTCCACTCTCTCAACCTGATAAAAAGACTTTGTTTTTAGAGCATTGTTCCATTCCGTGATTGGTTACTGTACTTGCAGTTAATTGTGAAAGGAGTTTAAAAAAAAAAATGAGCGAGTAGATGACTAATCTCGTTTCTTTCAAATGTTGCTGTCCGCCAGCATAGCCTAGAAGGAAATTATATCTGGCAGACTTGCTTTCTAAGGATAAATCTTTTGCAGTAATGACATGTTAACCTGTGCCTTGGCCAATATGCCTGCTGAATGCTTAATCCAGAATACATTCTTATGAAAAGCTTCTGGGATTAAAAACGTCTAGTAAAAGAAAACACTAAGTAATCCTCTGAAGGTGCTGTATTATGCAGAAAAAACTGTTTGCATATTTTAGTATCGCATATTTTAATTTGTGTGGTGAGGACGTTTGAAGTGGTTACTTTTTATGCAGAATTCGAATCCATATGGTAGAGCAAATATTGTACCCATTGCTTGATATGTTGTGTGATTATTAATGAAAGTGAAAACATTTTTATTTTAAACAGAACATTTATAATGAAATCTTGCCCCTTGGAAAGGCTGCTTATATAACCAAACCAAGTTATTCTAAAAGTAAATCTTAGGCTCATGAGTCATGGATATATTATTATTACAGAGTTGAAAAGCGATACCCTGTTTGTATTGCCTTTCACTACACACACAGCCCTGGCTGTCACGTGTCTTAGGTGCATCACTCTGACTTTGGCATGACAGCCGGATAATGTGAGAATTATCCTAGGGTTTGTTGTGTGGTTCAGACAGTAACCACACAAAAAATGTTTATTCTAGTATGATTACACTATATTAATAACATAAGTTAAAGAAAGAAGTGTTTAAAAAATTTTTTTCATAAAAATTGATAGTAATTCATATGATTTTGTTTTAAGAAGTGTTTTATTATATCTCATTGTGTTTTGTTTTTATAACATATCTTCATATTATTATATTTTATTTTTTTTTTTTCTTCTTAGAGTGAACGTGAAGGGTATGCAGGTCTTCTCACACAATCTGAAACTCAGCATATGAGACAGTACATGTCACAAGATGGACACAAGCCTGGGGAGGGTCACTTCCACCCACAACGGCCATCAAGTTCCTCATCTGAACCGAAGGGCTTCCAGGTATACCAGCCCCATCTCAAGTCTGAGCCTAGCCATCAGCCCTCTGGCTACTACCCAAGTGGCCAGAGGTCAGAGGAGTTCCAACAGGTAGTGTACCCTAAGCTTGGGCACCTCAACTTGTCACATAAACAGGAGAACTCGGAATTCATGAAAGGATATCAGCCATTCGGACACACGTTATTGACTGCGCCACAAAATCCTGATATAGACCATAGACTCTCTGTGACAGATAGCCGATTTGAAAGTGGATTCCGCCACACAGATGCTTACTCAAAGCTTGCTTCTGCCAAAGGAGGCAAGGATATCGGTGGACCACCTCCACTGATCCGTAGCGATCGTGATTCAAGAGCCAAAGAATCCCACCCGAGCATTCCATTCGGACTGGAGCGACCGGGAGAGCGAAAACACAATCTGGAGGCTTACAGTCGCTATCATCATGAAAATCAGTATCATTACCAGCAGTATGGTGGTCATGTAAGGGGGTCTGATGGGAAGGGGGATTCTACAAGGCATCAACAGAGTGCACCACAAGGTAAGGGTGTTCCTGTCATTTGCAAAACCCCTTCCTCTCACTTGTCAAGTGAATCGCCATCTCCCCACCACCAGCAAACACTAATGGTTAAAACGTCCTCTAGTCAGCCACAGTCACCCCTTAAAGTTGCATCACCGCAGCAGCTATCAGCAGCTGTCTTTAAGCCAATGGACTTGTCGCAGGCAAAGACTGTCACAACATCTACCACCTCCCAATCTGCCGCGACTCAGGGACATGCTTCCTTACTCATGTCTGCGCTCCGGCCAAATGAAAGGGGTGAACTTGTTGGAAAACGAAAGACACCAATGGAGGAGTTTGCAGGGCATAAAAAAGCTAGAGGAAAAGATGGTCAAGCATCCCCACCTCTAGGACCACTCGGACATCCAGACAGACGGCCTTCAGCACACCCGCATCATTCCTACTTAAATCAGTACAACTGGTTTGTACAAGATCACAGGAATAATCTTGTCACAGGTGGTCGAGCAGCTGAACTTTTAGCCAAAGATTTGAGAACTGGCCGGAAAGAGGATGTTGAACTTAAAATTGAGAAAGTGGACCAATTTGAAAATGCAACTAACTTAAATGCCTCATCACTCGCTGCAAATATATCCGGAAAATCTGACCACCCAAAAATAAATGGTGCTATCTCAGACAGTGACAGTACCAGTACTCGTTCCACTTCACCGTCTGAAAAGTCTAAGCGGTGTGATCCGCATACATCACCAAGTAAATCAGCAGGCCATGTAAGTCTGAAGAAAGCCTGGCTCCACCGCCATACCTACACAAAAGACAGTTTAAGTGAGCCGTCTGACCCCAAATTAATGCGGTTCTCAGACGGTAGTTCAGATTCACCCGGCCCAACATCCTTGCATAATGGCCATGTGGCACCAACAGAACTTGATAAAAAATTGGATGTTGATATCAAAACATCCTGTACCAGATTAACAGACATTCCAGATGCCATTCCTGACCGTGTGTACGATTTTGAAACGTCTTCCACATGCTCAGATGGCTCAACCGTATCCAACAGTACAAAGAAGAAGTCGCGCAAGAGTAAAGAGTCCAAAAAACCGAAACGCAAAGGCGGAAGCGAGAAGGAGACACTATCCAAAGATCAAAACACTCAAGATGATCAGAAAGATACCGCTAAGGACGTCAAGGAGAACGGTATTCTTCAAGTAAGCAATTTTTTTTTCAACTTAATATAAAACTACTTATAAACTTTTAATTTATCCACTTTATAAATGTTAGTGATTAGAAATTCTCATCTGCTATTCCCAGAAAAAGAAACAAAAACAAAAATAAAAAACAAAAAAAAAGAACATCCTTAACAAAAACTCTTGTGATTACTCTTACAGCGTGATCCAGCCACCATGGCCCCTAAGAAATTCATCCAGACACGAGCGCGCAAAGAGAGATCCAAATCTGATGGTAAGATTACAGGTACAGTATGAAAGATTCTCGAAAGCATGCATTTCACAAGTCTGCTCAGTGGATCTTTCATGGTGATAAATGAACAACCAAACCAAAATCATCCAAATTATATATGGTAATAGAATGTGGGTTAAACAATTTTGAACTCAATTTCAAATTTCATTCATTTCATTTCAACTTATTCCTACTTTCTCCTGCTACTGGTATACAGTACCATTTCCTGTAGCTTTTCTTGCTTCCATTCTTTATTCTCTCTCCTTATTTGCTTGTCCCTTTCCCTAATCTGCCTTCCATTTTATTACTCTTCTGTCCCTTGCTTTTATTCTCCTTTTGTTTCTCATACCTTTTCTTACTTTTTTTTTATTCCCTTTTCCTATTTTCCCTTAGTTTCCAATCCCCTTATTCTCTTGTCTCTCCATATTTTCACTTTCACTTCATCTTACTATCCATCCTCTTCCTTTCCGTATTTTCAATATGCCGGTGTTATTGATTTTTCTAAATTCTTCACTTAATTTCTAAACTGAGATTTAGAGGAATTATATCGTGATGTTAGGACAGTAATGCGTTATTTCTTTATTATCATGGATTTCTACAACCCTATTCAATTTTACAGTCAAGTTGTAAATATTTGTGAATACAAATTAATTCTTTTTGATTTTCAGCCTTGAATATAACACGTGCATTAGTAAAACCGCCAATTGCAAAACTAAAGAAGAGTGGGGAGGCATTCTTACAAGACGGTTCGTGTTGTGATGTCACGCCAAACCTGATAAAGTGCCGTGAATGCCGGATGAAGCCAAGTAGTCGCCATTCCAAGCTAAATATATTCTGTCGCTTTTACGCCTTCCGAAGGTATGATCATTTTGCTTTTATTTTAATAATTTTTATTAATAGTTTTTATTTTTAAGATGTGAAATTGTGGATTTATATTTATGTTTTTCATTTCATGTTATCAACAATCAAGCCTAAACAGAGATACTAAGGTATTGAAAAAAGACCTCACAAACTATTAGCTTAGAAGCAGTTAAAAATGGAAATGACATGTAAATATTAATTGAAATTTATTTTCTTTCTACGACTTAATAAAGTAGAAGTCTTGTATGTATCACAGCTTAAAAAATACATAATTTATTATTTTTAGCTGTATATATTTTATAATTACAATAATAATAATAATACAATAATAATTACATGGCATTGCATTTTCAATTTTATTAATAAAAATTATAGGATTGAAAATATATTACTTCAATGTAATTTAATCATTTTATGTTAGTTTGAATACATCTAACCTTTGTGTCTCAATTAAAAATAATCACCGAATTCTGTAGCCAAAATTCTTTAAAAATTCTAAAAATATGTTTGTCTTGAGAACCTTGGACTTGATGCAAGACAGAGCCTGCAGTAAACTTCCTGATAGCATTTTTGAAGAACGTGAAAGTACAGAAATGTACGAGTAACAGCATCATCAGGCGCTGTGGTTGCGAGTGTCAGGATGTGATGATAAATTGAACATTAATCCACAGTTCCTAAATAGAGCGATTTGCCGTCGCAAGATGTTTGGCGACACCCGAAAATCCATCGACTCGCATTACTCAAAACCTTTTACATGTCTTGTGGCCTTTACTGCTTGCAGGTCGAGGCATCCTATAAAGTGATTTATTTTTAATGCATATCTGCAAAGTTTTTGAGAAAATTGATTTGCTTGGAAAGGTCACCAGATGTAGTGTTTGGTGATTGTATTTCATGCTAAATAGTAATTTTAAAACTAAACATAATTTATAACCTGATAAAATATGATTATATTCGTTTAAAATTAATATATTATTTAGTAAAATACATGATATTGATAGTAGATATTTATAATAGTAATACAATATTACTGGTAATAATGATTAAATTTAATAATGATATATTTTTATACTATTTTTAAAAAACTATAAAAACATTTATTGACGTTTCTTTTTTCTCCATGAATGTGCTGTTTTTGCAGTTTACCCTGCTTTATGTCTTTTCTGTAATTTGTCTGTTGTGATGAGGACTCCCCTGAAAATCAGCTTTGCTGAGTGGGACATTTCCTCTTAAAATATTAATAAAAGAAAGAAAGAAAAAGAATAACAGTATGTAACCCAATGGTGTATTTCATAATTCTAAATAGTAACAACATAGTAGTAATTATATTAGTAAAAAAAAGTGCTGGAAGAGTAGAAAAATCTGGAGGTTTTTTTTTTAGTTTGAGTTTCTTTATTTAGTAAACAAGGTCATGATATTTCACAAAAAAACATACTACATATTGATTAAACTTTCCACGTGTTGCTGAAACTCATCAGCATCGGTCGACTTTGATCGGGTCTGTAAAATTTTTTTAATTTGTGCAATTGAACAGACCTTGATTACAAGGAATACTAAGAAAAGTTACTGTATTTCCACTTAGGACCAGTAAAACAGTTAAGCGCACATTTGCGAAAAAATAAAAACAACCAAAAACCTAGAAGCTACCAGAAAATCATTAAAAGATGAATCATTAATATCATTGTTACAATTTACATCATTGAAATTTTATAATAATAAAAATTATTTGTTTGATTTGGAGCGTGGGCACTTAACAATAATTGGGAACGCTCGGTGAATTTATCTTGATGAAGAGATATTAATGTGGCAAAAAGCTGAATAAAGTTCTTCCAAGAACATGGTTGTCATAAGGGATTATGAGGTTAAGATGTTACACTGAGCACAACATTGAAAATACATCAGTTGTTTAATTTAGTATAGTTAAAATACTAGCAAATGGCAGTAAAGATAAAAGAGTTCTTTGTTGTTCTTAATTATCACCATGTGTCTGGTTTCTTTATTAGTGATAAATGTCAAAATAAATCATTCATATTGTAATGACAAACACAAATGACAGCCTTCTTTCGTATTAATAACAAAGCATACATAACATGGTCGTGACGTTGGTAAGATTCTCGGTAATGTACGTCGGAAAGTTTTCATTATTAACGAGGTGATTATTTCTGTTCTGCTGTTAGCTTTCTGAAAGCAAAATATGCAATTAATTTGATAGGTCTGGAATGACACTCGCAGCGATAAAAAAAGAGAAAGTCTAATGCACGTTTGCTTTATAAATGAATAATTGATCCCTAGTTAAATATGCTAATTAAATATGTAACCGTGAGGTAGAGGTTAAATGTCTAGTTGTAGAGGTGCAGATAAAGTGCTAGCAGTGTGATAGAGAGGACATTAATTAATTAGCAAATTTACGCAACAGGAAGGAGACAATATATGTAAATGTTCTTAAATAAAGCATTTTTATAACCCAACATTTTATTTTGATGTGTGTTTGCATCAGGAAAATATCATAAGAGTAAGTTTTGTCCTAACTGAAATGTTATCGTACTGAATACTTTCAGTACGTTCCAAAATTATTGCAGAAAAAAACTTGCAAGTGATTTGACCTTAGATTATTTTAGTATCTCCAGGAATATGAATGTTGTTACAGTATTATCGGAAATGTCTTAGGTTGTGACTTTGTTGATAGCTACTAATTTTGTGTCGCTAACCACAAAGTTGCAATCTACTTATACCATTACTATTTTGAGTATTTTCATTTTTATTTTGATTATGGTAACATAGACATTATTCTTATTTATTTTTTACAGGCTGAAGTATAGTCGTAATAGCAACTTAATGATAGCTGGCTTCTCGGAGCCATGTCACTGTGAACAAGAGGATCTCGATCCTTGGTTACCGTACACCGACCCAGACTGCCCTCTAGATGTTAACACATCTAAGTACATTCTCTCAAAAGTCGGTGACCAATTTTGTGACTTAGTTCAGCAGGAGAGGGAAGCCAAAGCAATTAGTATAGAGAAGGGTAAGCAAATCAGATTATATTATTAGCTTATCCAAAAAAGTGTATCTTTTAAGTCAGGCTTAGGAGCAAAAACATTTTGTGATAGGTAACCACACTTTTTCACACCTTTTCTCCAGTTCTTAAATATTCAAAAATCTGTATCTCATTCACCGTTACCCAATTTTTCGTCAAACAACTTTTTTCTGTCTAAGAAAAATGAGTTCTACAACATATCAACAATTTTTTTCCTGCTGAGTCTGACTATGTTCAGTAGTAAATCTGTAGTATTGTGGAACAAATTTAATTTACATAATACATTTATTGTTTCATAACAAAAATTGATCTGCTAAGTTGATATTCAAAAAATCCATACTCATATTTTTCATTCATAGCCATATTGTATATTTAGAATAAAGTATTTTAATTAAAACCAGATTTCCTAATATATCCATTTATGAATACTGTGCAAGAATTTGCCAGATACTGATTTAAAACATTTATCATAATTATATAATTTACTTAAAACTAACAGATGTTCTACTGGCTTTCACTTTCTGAGGGCAATGCGATTCATTGATGTATAAGCCGTAAACAGAAAAAAAAATTTCATTCGTAGAAATTTGTTTCTGAATATAGACAAGTAATTTCACATTTCCTCTCTTACTTATTATAATTATCTTGCTTTCCTGAACAATACACTAGTGTATTTTAACCTCATACAGAATGTATCGTTATATTATGCACGACTTATTCCTATTTTAATCATGTTCTCTTAGGAAAAATTGCATGGAAACGTGCCGTTACGGGTGTACGAGAAATGTGTGATACGTGTGACACAACCCTCTTTAATATCCATTGGACGTGCCCAAAGTGTGGATTTGTCGTCTGCTTGGATTGTTATAAGTCGAGAAAGAACCGCTGTGAGGAAGGTACGTTTGTGAAACAATCCATCGATATTAAGGGATGGAGACATTTCGTATGCTGTAATCGGTTGTAACTGAATAATAGATTAATAGATAGTTGTGCTCTATTAGTCATCTGTACGTAAGTACATGAACTTAGAAAAAAAATAGGATGATTATGCGAGTGATGGTTAATAAAAAATATATAGAGAGAGGGACAATAAGAATCCCATTTATACAAAAACAAGACCACGTAAATCAACCAAAAAGATATTTAAAAAATAATCATAAAACATTATTTTTAAACATAAAAAAATACATAAATATAATCTTATTGAAGAAAAAGAAATATAGATCATATTAAAATATAAAAGAGAGAAAAAAAATTAATGAATTTGAATTTATTGTTATTTATTGCAAATATCCAAGATACAGTAAAAAAAAAACCAAAGGGCTATAACCACTGTATTTACTTACATAATTCCAATTACAAGTAAAAAATAAAATACACAATTTAAACATCAAAAATGCACACAAATAAAGATATGTCTTAACACTGGTCTGTTTCTATTATTGCATTCCCTATTTATTTTATTTTATTTTTGAGTATTTGAAATTTTGATAAAGTAAATTAATCCTTCCCTTACATTCAGCTTTCATTCATGTTTCTTTCTTCACCATGTGTATGTTTAGGAGATCACGATGAGAAGTCACCTCAGCGATGGCTGAAGTGCATTAAGGACCAGGAACATCTTATTGAGAACCTCATGCTCACCCAGATCATCCCTAAAGATGGTGAGTAATATTTGTGGATTTGTTGGGAAGATGCTTTCCTTTCAATCACCATGTACTGGGTTCGATCGAAGAGGAATTGTCAGCATATTAGTCAATCTAGAAATCTCACTAACCTCAAATAAACACCAAGGATCTCAATTTGGATGAATCACCAATTTAAATTTCATGTTTAGTTTATTGCTAAAGGAAATATTATAACCTATTTTAAATTAATTTTCTTTCATTTCAGCATTATGGGATGTGGGAGAGTTGGTACACAAGATGAGGATAAAATGGAATGTGAATCCTAACTGTAAATGCATGAAGAACGGCAAAGTTGCAATCAACGGTGCATCGCAGGTAATCAACACTTAATTATTCATGAACAGGGAGAATTAGGGTTTGGGGAGTGGAGAGGTGAGAATATTGGTCACAATGAGAAAACAAAATAATACCATACAAGTTTAAAGATAATTAAAAGGGGAAATAAGAAGTATCATTGTAGGCCTGAATGGCATATGGGCCAAGGTTGGCCATATCAAATATAATCAGCATCTAAACATGTTGGAGGGAGAAAATTGTAACATCCAGTGGGTGAGTTGGGAGTGGAGTGGGGGGGGGGGGGGGGTGAATTGGGAGTGGAGGCAGGGTGTGAGTTGGGAGTGGAGGCAGGGTTTGAGTTTCGGGAGGAGTGAGTTGGGAGTGGAGGCAGGGTGTGAGTTAGGAGTGGAGGGAAAAGGTGAGTTTGGAGTGGAGAGAGGGTTGAGTTGCAAGTTGAGACCGGGTGAGTTAGAAGTGGAGGAAGGGGGTGAATTTGAAGTTGAGTGAGTTTGGAGTGGAGGGAGAGGGTGATGGTAAATGATCACAGGGGTAAAATAAAAGAACATAGTAAAAGAATAAAGATTGGTAACAAAATAGCAAATAGCAGCTGATTTGTATTGTCCTAATTTCAAAACCAATTTTGAATATTGGATTTCAACTTGTCATTGAAATGAATTGAATGTGACATCATTTTGTGCAGTCGGAATGAAAGCACATGATCTACTGTCTAACATGACCAGACAGGATGAACAGTCAATAACTACTGGACAAACTGTTCTCACGAACAAATTAACGCAAATTAAAGAAGTCACTCGCTGCTGATAAGAAGGGGTACCAATTCACATGCTCCAAAATGAAAGTAGGAGATGAATTGATTATGTGATTAGGTACATTTTCTATTAGATCATAAACAAAGTCCTTGCTTGGTTAAATCCGTCAATACAAAGTTTAGCGCTGGTGTCGGTATTATTCTCATAGCTTGTCAGATACAATTCTTGTTATGTGCCACAGAGAGGATGTGTTCATTTCCTCAACTGCTCGCAACCTACATGCTGGCTAGCCACATGCAGGGCTTTTGATTTTTTGTGAATTGTGAGAGTTGGCATTTGAAATTATAGTGTCATTACATACAGTTTTAAATTGTACAACCAATAATGTAATATCTACCATTCTACTACTTCCGAGGGGATTGATGCTTATGAATGTAAGATATCCCTGGTATTTCCAAGATTTGAACACAGGGAATATAACAAGGAAAACATAGTAATTGTCAAGCTATAGCTCCATTATTAATTTTATTCTAAATTGACTCAAAAACAATATATATTATATAAGTAATCTATGATTGTTAATTATATATTTTATATACAGAATTTATTAGCTGAGACGGTGCTGACCGGACCTAAACTGAAACCAAAGGACAACAAAAAAGATGTTACAGCAGTAAAGAATTCCAATGCATCATCATTACAAATTCTTGCTGATATTGCAACATCAGCACAAACAGACAATCAAGCGGGTGATGCCAGCTCAATAGAAAACCAGTCACTTCAGGATACCAAAACAAGTACCACTACGACGGACAAACTCTCTTGTAGGGATACGCCGAGTACGTTACGAGAACTGTTAACAAAGACTGCCGATAAATTGGCCAAACCGGCAGCAACAGTGTCTAGTGGTTCACTTTTGTCTGCTTACTTTTTGAAAGGAGAAAACAATAGTGGGAAACGTATGGTGACTGGGACATTTGAGGATATAATTGCGTCCGTAGTGGAACAAAATATCGCTTCACCCACCTTGAATAAGCAAGAACGAAATACAGTTAATCAAACTAAGCAGAGCAGGAATGCTAACATTCAGACCATGGAGCCAACTGCCATGTTTATTAACCCGAACTTAAACCCGGAAGATGGGCAGGTTCGCCATACGCTAGTCGAATCTAGCATGACATTTCCAGATGTACCTCATTCTTGGCTGTGTGACGGCCGATTATTACGTCTTCTTGATCCCCGACACAAAGGAAATCTTAAAATATTCCAGGAGCAGTGGCGACGGGGAGAGGTAAGTGACAGTTGATGATCGCATTGGGTTCAGTGATATGGTACTTGCCGCTTCAAATACAGCCAGGAACATGCTGTGCAACGGTCTTTCACCGACAACCAGCTTACAGTGTCACGCCATTAAGCGCTGACAGAGAGCGGAGATGGATTCACGTCACCTGGCTTTAGGGTTCTACATCCAAATCTAGGCTATCACATTTCCTGCTCACTTGCATTCCCCAAGATGGCAAATGGCTTACCAATTTTATTAAAGAAATAGTTTACCATCCTATAGCCAGATTTTATAATATTAAAATGTCATTAAAAAGTTTTTTTTAGACACAACTGATAATGCTACTAGCATCCTACTCTTTGCTAAACTTAAATTTGGTTTATTTTAAAGAATTGTTTTTTTCTTGCAGCCCATCTTGGTTAGTGGTTGTCACAAGGTCTTGAGCCGGAAACTCTGGCACCCATCCACCTTTAGTCGGATGTTTGGTGACCAGGAGAACGATCTGGTAAACTGTCGATCGTCTGCGGTCATTCAAGGTGTACCGATGAAGGAATTCTGGGATGGCTTTGAAGACATTCGAAGTGAGTACATTATAGTGTAAATTGTGTGCGAGAGTAAGTTACAATCGGCAAGTCAGTTTAGCTACATCGACAACTGGTTAAGGCATGGATTAAAGGTGAAATATTAGTATGACATTAATCGTTTCACCTGCCGTGAACTTAAGCTCCAATTGTAACATATGTATGAGTCAAAAAGACCATAAACAGCTTTCAGACATAAGTCATCCTCACTTACAAAACTCAACACCTTAAAACCATGGACTTGTTAGCTCCTGCACTTGCCACTAAGTAACATTATGGAATGTATTCAATAGTTGTCAGTCATCTGTGGTATCATGCAGAGCACTTAAAACAAAATATTTGAAATGGTTGTTGGCTATGCAAATGCTAAGAATGGGGGCAGCATATTGTGAATGACTTATTAATCTGCCTTGCGGCAATGACATTAAACTTTTTGACCTGCCCTGATCTTAAGCTCCAATTGCAACATAGATATGAGTCAAGCGAGCCGGAAACACATCGACACAAAGACTAGCAAGGTCACAAATTATACCATGAACATTATGAATAAGACATTAATTTGATATAGTTGACCCTGTAGGGAGATAGACGGATACAGGATGGTACAGGGGCTTGGCAATTTCATAAGAGTGAAGACAGTTCAATTATAGATGCCAGCATGCTATAATTTGTTATGAATGAAATTACCTTGTACCTTGTTACTGGTGCATTGTGGGAAAATCAAATAGGAAGAATGCATTTAGAACATTTATACTCTCTGAATGTAGGGTTTGGTAATTTGTTAGGGAAGACAACCATTAATGCTACAACTGTGTAATAATTTGTTATGAATGAAAATACCAGGCTTTTTACTGATACATTCTTTGTGCAGAATTCAAAGATTTTAGAATGCATTCAGAAATATTTCTTCTGTCTGCCTACCATTGTAATTTTAGCACTTTTATACAGTGACAACAATTGATTCTTCTACCATATAATAATTTGTTATGAATAAAATTACCTTCTACCTCATTATGGTCTGCACTATGGGAAAATTGATTATCAAAACACTTAAAACATTTTCTACTGTCTGCCTGCCATTGCAGATTATCTAATTTTAGTACTATTAGGCGTATAAGTTTGCATGTAGTGAATGTATGACTAATGGACATATTTGACCTAGTTGCATCTAACTTGAACATTGATGGACAGACAGATAGCTGTAGCCTTGAATTCAGTGCCTTTTCAACCAGCCCTGAATCTTGCAAGTCCCTGGAATAGCTACATTGATCCATCATATTAATTGCTAACAGGGAATGATAGTGCCCAGTAATGTTGGTCACTTATATTTGAGGCTGTGATATTTCTGTTCAGCACTTCTATTTCCATCTTCCTCCTGATTGGATCTGACAACCAATTTATATTTTTGCCAAGTCTGATTCAGTTACTATTTTCATGTGTATGGAGACATGATAATAGAAATTCATTAGAGTTGTTTATAATAAATCATTTTGATAATGTGCAATCACATTTTAAAAATCTGATTGAACCTAGGAATGTATTTTTTTTTATTTACCATGGAACCATTTTATATTTATTTTACCTTTTAGAACGATTGGTAAAGCAACGAGATCCCATGGTGTTGAAGTTAAAGGACTGGCCTCCAGCGGAAGATTTTAGCGAACTTCTACCAGATCATTTCAGCGATCTTATGCAAGGGCTCCCTCTACCAGAATACACACATAGAAATGGACATCTGAATCTGTCCTCAAGACTACCTGAATTTTTTGTCAAGCCTGATTTAGGGCCCAAGATGTACAATGCATATGGTAAGAATGGTCTTGAACACTTATTTTGATGAATTGACTAATGCAAATTCTTGCACAAGTCATTCTCTGTTGTTTTGCTTAAAAGAAACATACAAATATATTCTCAATCTTATTTACTTTGTAATAGAAAACACTTATTTGTTTATTTGTGGTTAATGATCCTAAATTATTACTTTGCTACATTTTTCCCAGGTTCAGCCAAGTTCCCCAAAATAGGAACCACCAACTTGCACCTTGATATATCTGATGCTGTCAACGTGATGGTATATGTTGGCATACCTGTGAATGAAAATAAAGGAAAGCTGAGTCATGTGGACTTTGAAAAAGGTATGCAATCGATATATTCATTGTGAAGATTCAAATTAAATAATTGATAATTGCTTCTAATTTAAGATTTGGAGTGGAGATGTAGCATATGTATTAATTTTTTTTTTTTGTAATTTGCCTACATATGGACATAATCTTTTCATACCATGTCCGTATATTATGTGTATTATGTTATTGTGATTAAAGGTATTTGACACATAAAACTTGATAGTAAGGGTATAGCTTTTAAATGATGTTAAATATTCCGATTGGTTTTTATAAAGTAGAATAACATGGTACAGCCCAAGACATGTAGCCTTGAAAAGATTCAATACCAATTTAAACTTGTAGCATTCTTGTCCTAAGTCATGTATTTATTTCATTTGTGAACAGATGCATTTGATGCTATCGATCAATCTACTTGCGATGAACTGACAAAGAAACGTGTACGGGATAAGACAGAACGGCCCGGTGCACTATGGCATATATTCCGGGCCGTGGATGCAGATAAAATCCGTGACATGCTGCGCAAAGTGTCTAAGGAACAGGGTGAGGAATTCCCATCGGACCATGACCCAATTCATGACCAGTCATTCTACCTTGACAAGAAACTGCTGGACAGGCTAAAGAAAGACTACGGAGTGCAAGGCTGGGCCATCGTACAATGTATGGGAGATGCAGTGTTCATACCAGCTGGGGCTCCTCATCAGGTAGGCTAGCTTTACGTGCTGCTTAATGTTACGTTGTCTGCTAAAACCTGGATAATTATTAAAACATTTTTAATAACTAATTTAAAAGGGTTGAAACCATATAACAATTTAGTTTTTCTGGATAAACACAATTTAATTTTGCTCTAATTTTAAATAACTTAAATGTACGAAATACCTGCAAGCAATTCTAAACATGTCTAAATTCAAATGTTTTTTACAGTATTTTATTATACAGACATAAAAACTAAATTAAATCAACTTAAGTAAATCATTGTATAAATATGTATTCCATCTCCTATTGGATGAACCAAATATGTGATTGTTTCATCTGTTTTCACTTCAGGTACACAACCTGCACTCCTGTATAAAGACTGCTGAAGATTTTGTATCCCCAGAGCACGTCCACCAATGCTTTAAACTAACACAGGAGTTCCGTTACTTGAGCTCAACGCACAGCAACCATGAGGACAAACTGCAGGTCAAGAATATTATATACCATGCTATCAAAGACACAGTAGGAATTCTAATGGCCAATGAACCGCCTTCAAAATGAAACCATCACTGTTGATCAAGTTAACACTGGTAGGCTAAGTCCAGTTGAATCCGGACTAATCCAGAACTGTCAGTGAAACCAGTTTTAACTTGATTGAACTAGTTCTTGTAAGCAAGCTGAGCTCAGCGGACAAATTACAGGATTATAAGCAGTGCTTTTGGTTTTGAATTTTTGACAGAAAGTATAAATTGCGCGATCAGTAACGTGCAATGCATTTTTAAAGTAGATTGGACAAAATGAAAATTCATGAACATTAAATCTACTGGAAATACAGTTGCTGTAATGGTGTTTGCCGTTTTTAAAATACTTGAATATGATATAAAATGACTCCAGCAGTAATCTGATGTTATGAACTTGTGAATCAAGAGAGAACATTACAGATTTTGACTGCGAAGGATTATAACAAAATGTGTGCAGACAAACTATATATATTTTTTCTTTAATAAAAGTGCTAAAAAATGGAGTTTATTTGCACAGGATAGTTCAATTTTCTTCATTCAAAACAAGGTTTTCACAGCGATGGTTGGATACAAATACTTCCACTGCTGATGATGTCTTTGCCACTACAATTTCATATTGCATTTATCCCCTGTCTGTTCTAAGGTGCATGTCTTTTGCAAAAGCAATCTGTGAATTTGTTATCTTTTCAAGACAATCCTTATTTGTTAAGGTGTTCAAAGAGAGTCAACTTTTAAAAACACATCTAATTCATCTAATTCAATAATCTCTTAATTTTAGTATTCATGAGTAGCTAGTTCACACTGTTGACTAGCTATCTGACCTGTTGACCAGCTTTCTCATCTGTTAACTGGTTGGCTAGCTTATCTGTCACCTAGCTACAGTAGTCCATCTGTTAAGGGCGTTATTGATTTACTCCCAATTTTAAGTGTCATATATATAGTGCTGTTGAGAGGAGGGCATAGAGGTTAATATATGGACTAAAATGGGACTACACAGTATCCTAAAATTAAATCATCTGTTTTTATCTCCTAACCCAAGACTACAAGGGGGTGAATTATCATAAGCAAGAGTGTATGCCCATGTAGGTAGTATGGGTACCGTCCTCCAATCCAACGTCAAATCCATACAGGATTGACAACACAGTTATTATTTGGTGGTAATTAATCAACTCATATTTGGTTGATCATTCTTTACAAACAAGAAAATACAGTAGTGTATATTTTTCCCTAATTAAATACATCCCTTTTCTTTGTTGACTTTGACCATGGAAACAAATGTTTTCCATATTTAGAACAAGTAATCAGTATTTTTTGTTAATTTCTTGCAGAATCATGGAATATTGTTATTATATCGTTTTATATGTGAAGTAAGATTAACTAGAGAAACAAAAAAAAACACCAAAAAGATCTTATATAAGATTTTTTTCAGAGAAATTTCTAATTTTTCAATCAATTCTCACCCTTTTCAGGAAGATAAGGAAATATTTTGCCTTGTTTGTGTGGCCCATTCATAAGATGTAAATAGTGTATAAAATACTTGGTTTCACTCTATAGAATATTAAATGTTTGGTTTTTTTTATCGAAATGCAGTAGATAAATTTCAGTTAGTGCCAATGTAATTTTTTTTGTAGAATTTGATAAAATGATTGTAATTTAAAAAAAGTATTTGTCTAGATTGTGATTTAATTTCTGCTTGTGAATAGCTATCGAGTGTTCGTCGACAGATGTATGCTTAAGATTGTTCTCAAATCAGCTGGTTACACAGTCGGCATTTATGATTTGATGAATATTCATATTATATATATGCATATTCATTAACTTTGTGACATATGTATTGTGATCTGTACAGAACTCATAAGATAATGTTATTTTTATATGAACGCCAGACGCCTAGTCAAACTAGGATGTTAAGTGTTTGAACACTGTAGCTCAGTGTCAAAGGCTTGAACGTTGCATAAATACAGTCCTGTTTTATCACATGTAAATTCTGTCTACATTCAGTTATTGCTATTTCAAAAAAAAATTGTTGAAAAATATAACAAAGAATTTGAAATTATATTTGTTGTTGAGATTTTCTTATTGTTTTTGTGATTTCTACAGCTGTCTTCATAAGACAATAAATGGATGAAATGATAAACATTGAATGCCCATGCATTTCTTTTGTGGACATTACTTTCAAATGCCTTTCTTTCTGAAAATACAAATGTATTTTCTGGAATGAAGATTTGATGGATTGATCTGTCTTATATATAGTCACTGGAGCCGTCAACTGACAAATCCATTTCCGCACTCTCTGTGAAAGTTTGACGACATAATGCCGTCTGTTGATTGTTGGTAGCAGTATGAGCGGATTGTCATTACAACTTTCAACTTATTGGGTGTGGGTATAATTGAATAGGCTATTCGGCCTCTTGAGACCCACATTCATTTATGCCATACTGCACAATATGGTGCCATCCTTGTTTAACCAATGTTGATCCGGTCACTTTTTAAATATAGTTACAGTAGTCGCTTCAACAATGTTGGATGGGAGATTGTTCCAATGCTTGATGATTGTATAGCTAAAGAAGTTCTTTCTGATTTCTAGGACTTTATTCATAGATGGGTTATACACTTTATATTTGTGACCACAAGTGATGCTAGCAGGGTTAGATGAAAAAAGGATGAAGCTGTCAATGTTCTCTTTATCTGTAATGATCTTGAATGCTTCTATAAGGCCTTCTCTTAATCTTCTAACTGCTAAAGGATACAATTTCAATTTCTTGAGTCTTGTTTCATTAAAAACGAACCGTTGCGTGTAACTTGTCGTGTTGCATCCGCCATAGAATTGCGTTGGCCAACGACTGTCTACATAGTGAGTGCTGCCAAAATCAAACCTCGCTCAAGTAAGTAAATGTCTTCGAGGAGTATAAAAGGGTACCTGTTAGTATGTTGTGGCATTGAACGTATTAGGCTATTTTTTGCATTAGGCGTTTTATAAAAGTGTTATTATTATTATTATTATTATTATTATTATTATTATTATTATAAATAAAGATTCTAAAAAAAAGTAAATAAAAAACTGCTATACCCCCAGACATGAAGCATTTTCCCCAGACAAAAAGCAATTCCCCCAGAGCTGAATCATTCTAGCAGGTAGGTACTGTAAATGGTAAACTTATGATGTTCATGGGTGTTGTTGCAAGTGGATTGGGTGGGTGAAGGGTTTGAAAATGGATTTAGCCAACCATAGCTATTTTCTTTTTCACCTCTTTTTTCTCTCACTTTGAGGACCTCTATCTTTTCCCATCTTTTTCATAGTTTTAGTCCAACATAGAACATCTTATGAGACAAACATTTTTATTGGCAGAAGAGATTCTGTTATAAAGAGTGCAATATTTTTTGATGTAAATTTACAAAGGAATATTGAGGGTGAGTGGTGAAATGAAACGGTAGTGAGGGTGAGATGATACAGCTGGCAGGTGTGTAATGAGGGTGGGGGCATACATGCAAACATTTTTATAGTAAAAAACGGGAGAATTTGGCCTGTGGGAGTGGGTTTGGGGAGCAGGGGTGGCTCCAGGATTTGTCCGACGGGGGCCGATGTCCCGACGAGGGCAAAGTGGGCGTGGTAGAGCATCTCTCAAAACTTTTTTTTTAATATTTTTATTGTTACTATTTTATTGTTATTTGTATTTTCTCGGTTGGCCTATATTATTTCTTTGTAAAGCGCATAGGGGCAATGTGCAATATGCGCTATATAAATATATCATTATTATTATAATTGTGAAAGAATTGGCTGGAAGGCAGGTCACCAAAACGGGATTGTTGGCATGTATGTGAGGGATGAAATTTTACGGGTTATTATGCTATAAAGGGAAAAATTAGGGTAAGTGATGAGTTAATATGGGGTTATAAGGAGGGTTAATTGTGAAGATATATTATACAGGGTCAAATGATGGTGAGGGTGAGTATACATATAGGGGTACGACAGTTGGAGGAGAGTTTACACATGGGTCTAATCAGGATATTGCTGTGAATCGTTGCAGGTATATGATGAGAGTGAGGAGTGGGTTATTACAATGTTATTGAAATGACCTTGAGGTTGGGTGAGTTAATACTGGGCTTTATAAGGGTGAGAGTTGAGAATATACACGTGTATAATGATAGCGTATCCTCAGGTCTTTATCAAGGTACATGAAAAAAACTAGCAAAAAGTGGACACACGTAGTGGGAGGAGTTAAACGATGCGGATTATAATGAGAGTAATTAAAATCGGGTATACATTAATTATAATAAACAGTATAATAAAGTGTTTCTGAAGTCTATACATGGTATTCGTTTCCTATATGCTTTTGTTATCGTACTGAAACACAAGTGGAACTTTTAAGGGGAATGTGCCTATCAAAACATTTTGTATCACTATTTTTTTTATTTTATTGTATTACTTCTACTACAATAGATTAAAAATAACAATATTTTATTCAAATTTTCATATTTTGACAACTTTTGAGCGATAACTCCAATTTTTCTTGATAATTTGAATATCGTTATAGGTCCACTGCGTGTTACTTTGTATAAAATACCACTCATGGGATATTTTTTCCTGCGTACATTCATAAAGGTTTGACACTAATCACGGGATGTTTTTTCTTGTGTCTTTTATATAGGATTAAAATGCATACAATAGGCCAGACCTAGCACATCACCTAGAAAATCATTCTGATGTATCTGTCATAGCAGTGGAATCTGGAACATATACATCTTTTATAAGAAAGTATAATACATACTCCAAGTATTGAAATACACGCCATCGTGTTGGGATTCCCAACACGATGGCGTGTATTTCAATACTTGGAGTATGTATTATACTTTCTTATCTGAGATTAATCAGTGGACCTTTGGGTTTATACATCTTTTGTTGTTTCAATTAGATTTATTTTGATTTTGACCACTGGGAAAATCAAAATTTCCGAGATTGAGTCTACAAAATCCCAAGATTACTTTAAAAATCCCAAGATTCTCAAATATCAGGCCTAGTATCCCACATGCAACTCCAAGTCCATTCTTAAAGCTTTTTCAATTAATTGTATTATACTGAACTGTAGGCCTAATTTGTACTTGATTTGTCTTATATAATTAGTACATAAAAATGACAGGGCAATTGTCTTTATTTTATTTGTATTACACAAAGCATTTTTTATTCATTTTATTGAATTTATAATTGTCAAATTAAAACAATGAAAAGCATTTGCGAAGGCAGGTGCATTATTATTCTTGCTCAACTTTAGCACTACGACTGAAGCAAACAGCAGTATCCACCAATGGGGACACACATGAAGAAATTTAACTAAAAAATGCACCTTATTATTTTAGGAAAATTATGAAAATGGCGTTAACACTTACCAGAAAAATTGAAAAAAAAAAAAAAAAACTACTAAGCTTCCAATGGGTCATTTTTAACAAAATAATCAGTCCTTATTTACAACTGTCAACTATGGTGTTATGAGGCCATTAGCAGCATACTTCTTCATTTATTGACAGAACAAATTTAAAATTCTATATCATTCCAAAAATCACAAAATTTAATGAAAAGTTAACAAAAAATCCCAAGATTCCAAGGTGTCATTAAAATTCCCAAGATCTTGGGATAAATCCCAAGCAGTGGTCACAGCACAGTGACAACTACCAATAGACAATTCTCTAAAACAACGGACCCCTTTCAGGGACAGAACATTCAACTTCTTGGTAACAGAAAAATATATATAAATATATATATAATTAACGAGATGCGGACACCACACTTTCGCGACAGAATGTACAAATAAACTCATGTTTTCGAAACAAAATTGGCGAGATTAGACTTCTCTTTTGTGTTAAATAACTGGTACATTTTCATGACATTGGGTCTGGTGTAATAGCACTTTTTTATAAGTCGCTCCCGTTCAATATTTAACAGGGGACATACAAATAAGTAATGAAACTCGTCCCCCACATTATTAAGATTACATAGCATACATTTGATATCAATATCATAACGGAGGTATCTCTTATGAACCTACCTTTGGGGACGCAAGTTGACAAGAGCCCTCAACGGCGGTATACTTGTTGCAATGTTGACGCAAGACGTACAGACACGGTACGGTACGCAAGTTGACGTCATGTTGGTGGCGGGACAAACTTTGGTACAAGTGGTAGGTTGAGAAGTTTGTAAAATTTAATATATTAATAATGAATATTTGTCACACATTGTGTGCATAATCTGATATAGAATATGTATAAATTAGGACATATGAAAAAAGAGACGGGTACTTCTCATCAGAACTAAAATAAGCATGCTGAACCTCGTAGCACCATATCGGTTGACAATGTTGATCCATCCCTCCACGGCATTCTCCCCACGGCCTCAGTCAGAGTAGCCGGAGTCTTCCCCTCCCTGGATCGGAGTGAACTGCTTGTGCGCAAGGGATGGGTTGTTGTATTTGTACTGCCAAAGTAAAAGGTGGATGCTCATGTATGAGACTCGTGCATAACAGGTGTATTATTTGGGTTTTTTTTACACTCAGACTGAAAATGTAGTGAATGCGAAGAAACATGTCTGATCCTAGTAAAAGTGTTTCTGTAGCTCTTAAAACCATCTTCATTTTACTATCAGAAATACCTTAGACTGTAGAAGAAGGTAGAAAAAGCAGATGCAGACATAATAATAATATACAGCACACAATGCCAGATCTTCGATGTGCTTAAAAAAATTAAATATTTATAAAAATAAGACTTTGCCCCTCACATAAATTTTCTTAAAAATTGCATAATTTATTTACTATTAATTTAAAGAGTATGGTGCATTACGATTGAGTGTAAACCACTTTGGAAGAGATGTTTTACCATTGATTCCGTCTGTATGTACAAATTAATGATAATAGGACCAATCTTGCAGCATCATTGTGCAGAAATGCGTGCAGGATTGGTCCGTCACTACTGTAGCAGCCGTAGAGAGGCACTTAGTAGATTCATGTTCACACCATTCCACAACGACGGGTTTTGAAATGAACCAGACGATTGGGATGTGATGATGTCATATAATGTAATGTAGTTAGATGTACATAGCGCTTTATTCTAAAGTTTCAAGCGCTTGAGGTGTGAACCAGCTCGTACAATAATTTGCTTCTCCACCAAGAGTCTCTTTATGTCTAAGCTACCCAGTAAGCCGGTACCAGCTATCTCTTGTTTGTTTTCAAGCTAGGGCCTATATGACTACTATTACCTTTTTAACCTTCCTTTTAATATTAATTTTTATTGTTTAGTAAAATTCTATTTATATTTTTTTCTCCACAGGGATGCTATTGGCAAAACCATTTTTATTAAATGAATAAATAAAATGTTGTTTCTTTTTTTTTTCTGCCTTCCTCAGAGGATCTTTCACAAATTATGATGCAGGAATTCAATGTAATGTGTTAAATTGAATTTTGTAATTGAAAATTAAACATAACTGCCCTTTGTACTAATTTGAATGTGTGTCTTAAGTTTTAAATCTGAAAGTTTTTTAATCTAATTACTTATCACGCTTTGTAAGTACTTAAAAGTATTACAATAACCTGTTGACTTATTTGGTCGATGTAAACTAGCACTAAGTGGCTATTCAGATGGAACAATGACCGATGGCCAAACAATGTCCTACCCTAAAGGTTTGACCCTGAAGTGGCCTAAGGCTTTTGACCCTGGTGATAGTAAGTTGATAGTAAAATATATAAAGATGGATATATAGGAAAGTAGTTAATTACTCCTGCTTGAATACTTAATTATACCCACTTCAGATATATTTTTTATTTTTATATATTTAAGTCTTAACAATCCAACACAATTTTTCTAATGGGTCCACAAAGAATGGGTCCACATTTTTAAAAATTGGTCCAAATTATGTAATTTTATGCATAAAATGGGTCCAGATTTCTCATATTTAGCTAAAGTGGGTAAAATTTAAGAAAATGGGTCCAGATTTTTCATATTTTCGCGTAGAATGGGTCCACATTGTTTGAATGTACATAAAGTGGGTCCACCCTGAAATTGTCCCGCACTGTTTGAAAATCCTGGCTACAGCATTGCTTGAACTTTGTAATTCTTGTTCAATGCTGTATTTTGAATTTGTTTTAAAAGCCTTAAATTGGGAGGTTATGTCATTTGTACTAGATAATTATGTGTTTACTGTATACAGTTAAATGTTGATTGATTTATTAAATTGATATATTTGGATCCTGTCACATTTTACTATACTATATAATTGGGAATTTAGCCCATGGAACAGACAAAAGTATTTTAAAAAATAATTTTTATTATAAAAATTATTTATTTGTAGACAAGATTTTGGCATTAGAGGCAGGTACAAACACTGCAAATTTTTGCTTCAGGACTCACAATTGCACAATCAGACTTTGTGTAATGAAATATGAAAAATACAGAAACAACCAACGGCCTATTTACACAGAGTACAACAGCGAAAAAAATACTGTATTCTGTTATGCAGTGCAATAAATGTTTCTGCCACTGTCGTGTTCTGTTGTCGCACTCTGTGTAAATGGGCCTTAAGTCTTTATTAAGCACGGTGCTGAAGTCAAAGCCTGTTATACTCTGATCTGTCAGTCAGTATGTGTTAGATTGGCTTATTTTGTTTTCAAACACAGTAGCACAGGTAAATACAGTTTTTGTTTTTTTTATCAGATTTTGTTTGTCTAAAACAAGCATAATGCTATCAAGTAAATTCTAATTAAACATTTTATTCAGTCTGACAGATAAAACTCTGATAAAATATTTGCCTGGTTTTAGTGTTGAAATCTTACCGTGTAATCAGTTTTAAGTGTAAAAATTACTGTGTAATCAGAATTAAGTGTAAAAATTTGAATAACTTGAGAAGTGTATGCTGGAGCCTATCAACAATAAAAGTTTTGTTTCATATAGGCACCATTGCACCTAATGTCTATAGGCTAGTCTTTAATATGTTTGTGTTTCCCATTTTCAGATATAATACCTTTTTATTGTAATGCAATTGTACACCACACAAGTTTACTTAATGTAATTGTTTGCCATTTTATGGCTTTTTTAGTTGCAGTTGTAGTACTATAGGAGAGTTGTGACTGAAGGTTCTTGAGAGTAATTTAGGACAAAACATAGGGTCACTGACCTGAAAAAATAAGGAATTGTCACTCATTGCATGCTTATTGTATTGCAATTATTTCACTAAAAAAGATAGATTAAATTGACTCACTGTTACTTTTACACAGTTTTTTTTGACATGTTGTGCTTTTTAATAAATTAGGCATGACTTCTTTAAAAAAATACAGCTCCAGATTTGCTCATATGGATATAATACAGCAGCACCTTGATATCCTTATAATATGAGCAAATCACAGATATTTACATGTATCACAAAAAATTTGATGGTGGACAAAGTTTACAATTTGAAGAGAGACAAGTCACAATATGTCTTATACATATTAGAGATGCCTTTATGTCAAAGTAGAGAATATTTTAAGAATATTTTAATTTTAGTGATTTTTATCGTTTTTATAGTGATTTTATATTGTATTTACTGTATGCTCTCTGTTAATGGCATTTACATTGTTGGGGGAGAAATAATATTTTTTTTTAAATCACTTTTTTTCACTTGGGCTGCTTAATGTAAACCGAGCCGCATAGCTTGTATTCCACTATTTGCATTCACACCTGGGCTGTGTATATATATTGCCTTGGTTTGGTTCTGTAATCATTAGTGGTCGGGAGACTAGTTTGGGCCCTACCTAAGCTGGTCGAACGTTTCGTTTGGGTCTATACCCTAGCTGCACTGATGAGGCCCGGAAGGCCAAAACGGATCCGTCTGCAGATATTGGGATTCCTTCCAGTGGATGCTTAGTTTATTTTGTCATTCTGATCGGATTTTCTCTACTGTTCCGTTTTAATATTAAATAGTTTTGCATTATGTGGCCGTTTGCTGTTTTATTGGTTTTTCCCATTTGCCATATATATATATATATATATATATATATATATATATAAAGATCAAATAATGTTGATGATGCCAAAAGTTCTGGTGTCTTTAACGCTCTGTCTAGAACCAAATTTTCTGTGACAAAAAGCTATAGTATGCCCATATTGTATAGTCGTGATGTGCCTATATATGGTCATGATATGATATATTGTCATGGTGACCATATTTAAGCATGTCACATGTTGTTTAATAGTCTTAACAAGTCTTCAAAATTGAGATTTATCATTTTAATTGAGATACATGTTATATAAGTTTGAAACATGAATATTACAGATATTAATTTATAACATAAAATTTTAATAATTTTCATTATTACTACAATAAGCAAAATTTGATAAACATCTATGTACACAAATATTGCATAATATGTTACATGTTTATTTGTTTTAAACTCAGTCTTCCCTTCCTCAGAAAGTGAGAATTTGAGACCAGTTTGTTTAAATCACTGAAGACGTTGCTATAGCAATTTAGCACTGGGCTACCAAACATATGGAGGTAAGGTAGTGTCTTTTTAAAATCTAAACCTAGTATAAAGGTCTGTCTATGTTATCAAATCAAATTTTCTGCAACAAATATGTCATTTGCCCATATATAGACATAGTGATGTCGTATAGCAGCCATATAGGTAAACAACAGGTATATTCATTTTAAGGACAGAGCTAAAGTTGAAGTTTAAATGCCATTGTAAGACACTGTTTCCTTGGAACTATATTGTACTGTTTACTATAGTAACTAACAGTTCTTGGTCCCCAGTGGCTATGTTCAGTACTTGACACTAGAGAGGATTATTTCTAATGTATTTAAGTTTTATATACCCTTGGGTCATCCCAAAACTTTATCTCACTCTAGGTTATTCCATTTCAATAAACTTTTTCTTTTTAATAGAAACAAAGGTAATATATTTATAAATTTATTTATACTGATAGCTATCTGCTTTTTTATATTTCAAGGCATTTATTATAATATTGACGGAGACACGGTAAAAAAGTTATTCCCTTTATAGGAACATGCTAAAAGAAATTAATTTGTTTGTAGTGATTAAGATCAGAATTACCCATAATCATAATGGATTCACCCATTTTGTAAGTTAATGAGAAAACTACCAGTGGTGTGTGAAAGCAGAATTGATTGGGGACAACCATAGGTGCTACCATCCTCATCACTTGCTCCAACATTATTGTCAACGGCAATTTTTCAATCAACTTAATTGTAAAACCATTGCTAAATCACCAGACATCTATTGTTTTCAGCAGCAGGGAGATTTAAATCCTTCTGGATGTATCTTACTTTTCTTATCTGGAATTAGACACCATGTTGTTAAAGGTCTGTGAATATGATTTTTTATATATATAATATAATTATTACAAAGGGCAAATTATGTATTGTGCTGGTGGATGCACATAATAACAATAATGTTATTGATTAAAATTCTATAGAATTTTCCTTTCAGAGTAGCTCATTAAATAAGGATTGTATAGATTTTTGTACAGTATATTTTGTATTTGCAGTGAAAATATTATGCATATTATAACTCCATGAGATGAGATAGTTTAAATGTTCTTATATGTGATTGTGATCATGAATTGCTAGAAAAAAACAGACTTTAACATTAAATAATTTACCTCTTATATTGAGATATCACAGTATATTATTATTATAATATTATAATACCTGGAATAGAAATCCTGTGGGCTTAATCTCGAGAAGAAATCATCTCCAAATGAATCATCCCACTTTAGTTTGAGTAATCTAAAAAAAGCCCAAATGGTATGGGCTTCTTTACAAGGCTATACAGTACATATTAGTACTATACACTGTTCATGAATTTCAGAAGAAACAAAAGTAAACAATGATAAACACTTTGTTTTAGTAGTTTAGGTGATGCCGGTTAATGCACTCCATGACACAGATTAATGTTCTCTTTGATGTTGTAATTAAATACAAAATACTGTACTATAGTTTTAAAAAAATGATTTTCTGTTTTTCTAAACAGGATTTCATTATTGGAAAATGTTTTCAGAAGTCCTATGTTTAGGAATTTCCTAATTTTACAGCATTTATTTTGAATAGAAGCCCCATATTTACTTTGCAATGTAGTCTCGAAAAGAAACCATCTTGTTCTTAAAAAGAAGCCTATCTCAAAAAGAAGTCCATCCAAAGGTTCTAAGCCCAGGACTTTTATTCGCGGTTTTATGGTATATAAAGCATAACCAATGGCAGTACTACATAAAAAAAACCTCTACAAATTACAAATTACCAAGCAGTTTTTCATTTAAAAAATGTTTCAAATATTTTAATTTAGTGTACCAATCTTATTATTATAAATGATTAACTTATGTTTTACATTAAACAAATGTGTTCTTAATCTTTTTTTAAACATCTTTAAATAACAATTAATCATGTAAGGAATTAAGGAAATTAGTGGAATACTTTGAAGGTGAAGTGTGTATAATTTAATTAGTTATTTCAATACCATCAAACAAAAAAGCTTGTATAACTTGTCAATTATAGAATTATTTGACTTTGATGTTACTACATGTAAATAGTAACAATGACCACAGCCTGATGCTGTTAGTATTCTTAGGTGCAAAGTGATGTTTTTATTAAGTGCAAGCTTACCTATAAGCCTACATTTGTTATAGCATGGTCAGAGCCTCAGGAAGAGTCCAGGTAGCTTGTGGTAGCCTTGTCCAGCGACAAGCAAGGCCAACAATACTATTGTACAAATATCCATATCTATCACAAAAATTTTTCTTTTGTATGAGTCAAGTGGCAGAAATTTGTGTTTGGTCTCTGCATGCATCACTACTCCAGCTTTAGGTAGGAAAGTTTATGCTGTTTGGAGACAAATTCAGTTATCCGCAACCCATTTTTCTATATTTTATATAATTATTCATTTTTGAATCGTTAATAAAATTAATACAATTTATATAAACAATTTTTTCGGTAATTGATAATTCATGAGTGGTGGCGGTAGGTGGAACCCTCATTAGCAAGAGGTATACCTCCATCCTTCTATCGGAGAGTTAATCACAATTTGTCAGGGAGAGAAACAAATTCCTATTTTTTTTAATGTTATGAGACTCAAAACTGATTAATTAAAAATTTCAAATTTTGCTTAGCTTCCTCCCAAAGGGTTTTGCCCTTATTTGTTTTCAATCCAAAGCTGATAATAACTTGGAAAGTGTTTTTTGTGGTTGATATTGATAGGGAGGCATATAAATACCTTGAAAAGAGTACACGGATTAAATATCTTATTAATAGGTCCATGATATGACCAAGGAATGACCATAAAAATCACACAAAAGGCAACGAAAAGGTTAGATTTATATAAGATTTCAAGGGTATTGTAAGGTCTAGATGCCCTTTAAGGTTTAAAACCTTGGCCTATAGCACTATAGAAACAAAGGCGTGTTGACTGCCATTTTGTAGCAATCATGTTTTAATTTAATGTGGCAATAAAGTGCTTACTTTGATTAATTTTGATAATACATCATCATTAGAATTTCTTGGAAAATTATGATTATTTTTATGCAGTATGTTGTGTATAGGTTGTTGTAACAAATGGCTAATTATAATTTGAGAGCTTTTATGGCTAGGGAAAATTTACATCATTAACGTAACAACCACGCTTTATGAAATATACCAGTGATTCACACTGTGTAATCTAGAAAATTCTCTAAAGACAATAAAAATAAATAACTCAACAATTAATTAAAAAAGGTAATAAAATAATTTTGGTACAATGGCAAGTTTCTAAGGACTATATTATAAATTTGGAAAATTTAATAAAAATATAAAGTTAACATAAAAAATATCTTCATCGATATAAGTTAGTACTAGTAGTGAGCTCATAATTGACACAATTTCAATGAGTAGTCCAATATTGTCACACAACAAATACAACAGATTATTTTGCCACCATATTTCACACAGGTTTCAATTACAAACTCTGTTATTACCGATTAATTCTGCAGTTGATGATATAAAGTAGCATGTTGAAAATATATTAACGCCCTAAATTGTTATTAATTAACATGCTGAATTAATTGTTACTTTTCACCGCCCACAATTAATTGTCACAAACCTGTCAAAATTCTATCCAGTTGCGTTCATCAGCGTTGGTGCTAGTATTTGATTTCTTTACCTTACATTCTACACCGCATGGGCTGTTCTTTGCAAACATGTGATTCCAACCGAAAAGAAAACAAGTATACATACATGGTAGTTGAAAATCTATGCTGAGCACAGTTACTGGCTTTCAATTGAAAATTTTACAAAATATTCTCCTCACCAATCGCATACACTTAAAGCCTATCTGTACCCTGAAATTAGCTAGTACTTAATTGAAGGATTTTTTTTAGTAAAAAGTCAGTAAATATTCTAAAAGTGGATTATTTTTAAAGTCTATTCTCATTGGAGGATAATGGCTTAATTAATTCTTTTTCAGATTTTACTGTAGATAGACAGTACAGGCGCGGATCCAGCGAGGGGCCATGAAGGCCCGTTAACCCCCGTCAGTCAACCCGAAAAATAAAAAAGAGGGTAATAAATTTGAGTTAAAGAGAGAAAAGGGAGTGCACCCACGAGTTCAGTGGCGATACAGCAGTGGGCAAAAGGAGAACTCGATTATTTACCACTTATTTTTACAACCATGGTGGGGCTGAGGTGGGCATGGCAGCATGACCGTCATATTGTGCCCCCCCCCAATCAGAAAATCTCTGGATCTGCACCTGCAGTATGTCAAACCATACACAGGGCAGTCACTACCAGTGAATGGATAAGAAATAATTGTAAAGTACCTAAGAGATACAGTATATAAATAGTTGTGTTAATACTGTGAATATATTAATGATGTACACTAAAGCTCGGTTTCCATAGAATCGCTCACCCTTTCGGCAACAGTCGCTGACAGTCGTGGGGAAGGTTGAACCCGGTTGAACTTTGCCGATTGCGTTGTAGACGAATCGGGGTGCCTTCCCGATTACGTCAGGGCAGCTAGCAAGGCACCGTGATTGGTCTGCAGTGCAATAGGCACGGTTGAACCAGGTTCAACCTTCCCAACAACTGTCGCCGATTGGGTGAGCGATTCTACAGAAACTGAGCTTGAGTAAGAATATTGCTGTATTTACATATAAAGATTAACATTTCATTCAGTTACTAATCAAAATATTACTATTTTTTTTTAAATTCTGTCAGCTCTAGAGAATTAAGAATTAGCCACTTAAAGTTCAGTTAGCTGTATATAATGCTTGAGTGCCAATATCATTGTAATCAAAACACGATTTCTCAACAATAGCAGACATTAAACGACCTCTGATTCCTATTACTCCTCATTAACTTCATCCCAATAAAAACAAAACGCTGTTGTTCTTTACGCTTAAGTAAATTAGTAGAAAAAATTCTTGAATTATCGTACATCATATCCAGGTGTTGGGATATAAACCGTACCAATAGCAGGTACTGGTAGTAAATACACTAGTATAAAACCCTGTAATAGGCGCTACTTTTAGGAGTAATCAAGCGAGTGAATTAATCTGCAGAGTGTGCTGAACCGAATGTAATTTTTATTTTAATTACGGGATTGCTTTTAATGATAATCGGTGGAACTCCAAAAATATTGATTCTAACGCAGTGACTCATTAACGGAAGTATTGTGTTGAGATATGTGTCTATGAAAACACTCATTCATAATTTTTTTTTTCTTCCACATCAATCAAAAAGTTTATTCGCCAGTTGCAGGATTGAACTACTTATCAATTAAAGTCTTATTTCAAGGCCTAGAGAGTGCAGCTACTTTTAGATGTGAGAAAAAATTCAGGTGCTTATAGGATTTGAACCCAAAATCCAGGATTAGAAGGGGAGCACATTGACCACTACTGGTGGAAGCGGTTTGGCACAGTGAAAATGACTTGCTTTCCCAACCTTGGGGTCAGGGTTTCAATCCTTCACTGTGCATTTTGCTTGTGTCCTTGAGGAAGGCTCTTTATCTATATTGCAGTCCACCCAGCTGTATCAATGGGTAACAGCAAATTCTGGGAGTAACCTGCGGTGGACCAGCGTCCCACCCAGGGGGAGTATTACACTCTTACCTGTTTCACGCTTCAGAAACTGGGGGTTAAGTTTAACTAACTAAACTGAATTATCATAAATATACTTACATCATTAACTAATACTTTTAATTAATTTTTATTTTCATTTTAAAATTATAAATTGTATTTGAGGTCATCACGAAGTTCATTCCATAACTTAGCACCTCCGTATGATAGGCTATGTTTTTTATAATCTGATAAGAATGACATAACAATGGTATTGAAATTATG